GTTCAACAAATCTTTCCAACAATCATATAAGCTTATTTTATATTATTTACCTTAATTTTGTTTAAAATCAAAATGATCATCAAGAATATCAACCTTTGAAATATTTAAAAAAAAAGAAATTCTCAATTTCTTTATTTAAGTCACTTATTTGAAGAACTTGGTCAAATCATTTCATTATGCTTTTCATTCTTAATAATAAACCAACCAAATATCTGACAGTTTATTTAACATCTTTTCTGTGCATGAAAATGAAGTGTTTTACCGTAGTCTTGCTGTATCCTCAATATGTTTATACCTGCTGCCAAGTAAATATATCCAAATGTTTACGCAGATTGAGAGTATTAATCTCAAAGTTACAGCCTTCCATACAACTTCCTTCTGATAAACATTTTGTATTAAGAAACTGACGAATACTTATCTAAATAACAACTGACCAAATTGCAAAATGTTTAATTTAAATATAACTCAATCCAATATGTTTGCCATCCACTGATTATTTTCTAAATAATTTTCAAATGTTTTCATGCTTATGCAATAAAATATTGAGACAATACAAAGGCCACAGAAATGTGGGCCTTGACCAGGGCGGAACCTAGTCAATCTATCCCACCACTGCCACCAATTGTGGCGAAGTTGAGTCTCTCTATCTTTTACAAAACATGAAAACAAATAAAGTTTAAAATATTAATTTAATACAGAAAAGTTAAAGTCCATAAATATCATTTCAATCGGCTACTTACAGTTTTTGGTTAGTCCCGAGTTCACGCAACGAGGTTCTGAGGATTTCAGACAAAATTGCCCCTTTTATACCCAATTTTTTTATGTGGGCCCCGCCAAAATAAGGGGTCTTATCCAATGAAATCCCCTTGAAACCCATTAACAAAAATTGGCCGGAAAGAAGTGTGAAAAATTATATGAAGATTAATTATCAACATGCCAGATTTCTGCCCACATTATTTTCTAAAAAGTTGAAAAGTTCCCATTTATTTCAGTTTTTGTTGAAACTTTTGAGACAGGTATGATTAATAACTGAATCCCAGAACCTCGGTTCAGACAATTCTCATGAACTTTTTACCTTACTCATATAAACCATTAAGTCATTATCTCTTCAAAATACATGTTTTATAATATTTTAAACAATAAAAGTTAGCAAATTCTTTATACAATTACATTACAATGTTTTTCATATATCAAAATGTAAACACCTACAAAATACTTTTTTTTGGTCAATTTGTACATCATCACCCATCAATTTATCATATCCTATTGTTTTATAAAAATGACATCATATACCAATATGTTTATGAATCTATGGAAGCTAGACAAAACATCATTAATTGAATATGATAGCTTCTTGGCTTCATTCAAAGTTATACTGTCACTCAATAGACTAGACTTCCCCCTTTCTTGGAACCACTTCTTGCCATTGGCTATGTGATTTACCTGTCAAATCTACCACCAGTCCTTACTATAAAACATGTTCAATTGAATGCAAGATATCTTTATCTAAGTTTAACTTTGGCACTCTGCAACATCCATAGAAGTTTAAGATTGTGTCATTGAGTTCAAGGTAAAAGTGATAAATTACTAAATTAATAACATTTTCCATCTTAGAAGCCTAAATTAATTTTACAAAAATGAAATGGAAGTGAACAATTTCTTCTTGTTTTACATTATGATGTCTTATTCGAAAGTTGTTTATATTCACATGTCAAGAAATGATGTATCTTCAATGTCTACAGTAAACAAAGCTTCCAGTTCCCAAAACATTCTGCCGTTATGATGATATCAGCATAACAGAATTATTTATCCCAAGATTTCTGTATTTGTAAGCAATTTGTAGAGTATTATGACCTAAGTTTCAAAAATCTATGAACTAAAAATTAAACTTTGTCACAATATTTCCCTTAGTCAATATCATATTACCCTGGAATAAAATTCATATTGGAAATCAAGCAGGAAATACAATATATTTATAAGCTGTTTTATACTTCAACCTTTGTACATGTGCAGTATGGCAGTGATTTTAGACGGTCATATCTTTCACCGTGAATACTTTCTGGACATAAATAGAGGATATCCTATGATTAATGAGTGATGATTTTTATCCACAAATGGGTATATCTGCACGAGTGGATTAAAATCATATCACGAGTAAATCATAGGATGTTCTTTTTATTCCATAGTTAAAGTATTCCATAGTTAAAGTCATCATCAGAATCGTCGGAAATTAAGTGATTTAATTCAAATTTTCCGAAGATCCGGCGATGTTGACACTTAGCCTCGTTTTGAGTCTGAAGAAGCAACAATCCATAATTCATAGCATACGGCGCCGTATGTCATGGCTTAAACACTGTATGCTATGGTTAAGTGAAAATTTGTCAAAAATATCATATTTTACCACTGATTACAAAAATACCGTTTTTATTTTGACATGTTTTCCTCTGAATATCTTGCTAACTATGGAATAAATACAAAATATCAAAAATATGCTTTCTTTCAAGAGAAGTCCCAATGATAGTAAAATATCAATCCAACTCTCTGAAAAATTATAGATTAGGACCCCACCTTGGCATTTTTTTAAATGTAAGGCTAAAAAGAGGATATTGTTTTTCTCAATTTAAACATATCGAAAGTCTCTTCTACACTACAGTACATCAACAATTTCTGAAAAGGGGATGGGTATTTGAATTCGTTAAAGTTAAAAACTAAATATCCTATGTTATTTTCCCATAGGGAAAAGTTGTGCTAACCATTGATATTTGGTCATCGAAAATTGATATCTTCAAACTAAACTTTCAATACCATTCTACGTTTGAAGAAGTTTTAGACCCCTTGTTGAATAATCTTTTCGTGGAATGAAATTCAGAAAAAGAAGATCCTCTTTTGAGTGAATAGGTACAACGTTTTGAAAAAAATGTTGACACGGGGTTCTTATTCATAGTTTTTCGAATTGTTCGATTGATATTTTTATCATCATAAGAAATGGACTTAAAAGAAAACATATTGTTTTAACAAAAACGACTGTATTTATGCCAAGAAAGTATTCATGGTGAAAGAGATGACCGTCTAAAATCACTTGCCATACTGCACATGGACCTTTGAAAATTATGGGTATATAATATTGCTGCTTTGTTATTTATTTGATGATGATTGGAAACTTTATTTCTCCAAAGAGATTTTATCGTGCCTTGAAAAATAGATTTAATCCGAATTCCAGTTTTCTATGCGGATATAGTACCCACACATATTTTTGTCGCCTTCTTCGATGTGCTGTAGAAAAATATCCAACAAAAGTTTGCTCATGATATTGTGGATACTTTAACTTAAAACAATTTGTGATACTCCAAATTTTTTGTTTGGGGTAATATGCCTTTACCAAAATTTGACATCGGTTTCTAAATTGCTCCATAGTACTATTTACTAATATGAATTAAATCAAGTGGCTTGGGAGAATGTTATATATTACAATATTAAAAGTTACTGCCACATAAATCTATTTCAACCATTTATTTTGACAATGATGTCTAATAAAAGGTATGCCGTTGGTGGCCACCCAGTGAGCCATTGCATGGCATCCGATCGTGGAATGTGGTGTGATTGAAATAAAACCAAATCTAAGCATTTGCTCAAGATTTCATCAGATGCAAGCTGTCATATAGCATATGTTCGCTGACAGCAATGATATCATTATTTTCGAGCAACGTATCTAAAACTGATTTGGATGTGTTAGCTCCATTTAAGCTCCATTGTGTAATTTTATAAGGTTCAGTGTACTCACGTTATGAGATTGGGTGTTTACGTGTATAAGAGTACTTATTGGATTAAAGAAAAGTTCGTCATCACTTCTTTTCAAAATGTGCCACCTTTTTAGAAATCAGCCATTTTGTGAAGTGATTTTGAGGTTTTTCATGACACGCCATTTATATGTTACAGTTGTCATCGGTTATACTCGAATCTTACCAATACTTTTGAAGAGAGCCATCCTGTATATCTCCCGTTGTATATCTTCCACTATGTATCTCCCGCTCCAATATTTTCGTGAAAACATTTTTTCGATCGAATAACTTCCTTTAGAGAAACTGTCAAAATGATGCAACAAATGATATAATCTTTCTGGACCAAAATTCTGATTGACTTTTCAAAAATTATGAGAATGAGATCACTTTAAGGAAAACAAACCTTGATATGGGTCTCTTGAAAACGACATATGAACTCTTATTTGTCATGAGATTAATTATGTGATGCTCGGTTTTGAATATGGGGTATACATTGGGAAAAATTATATCATTCCTTGGGTTTTCTGAGCCCTCGGCAAGATATTTATATTTCCCTAGGAATATACCCCATGTACAAAGCCTCCCATAACATAATCTTCATATAAGTGTCCTGACTTGATTAATCATAAATATGCTCCAAAGCCCAATATGCAATAATAATTATGTCAACATCGTTGCCAAAAGGGAAGACAAAATATGACGAACAAAGCACAAACAAGAAAGACACGTCTATGGAAAACAAAACGTTGATATTAAGGACGGTGATATAGTAGAGAGTTTAAGCTTGGATATAAAATCGTAACGAAAATGTGTACGGATTAATCGCCCATATACACTGCATAATCAAAAGGGAGTGACAAAATTACAAGAAACCAATAAACTAGTATTCCTTACAATCTCAAATATAATTTCTCCCAAAGGATTCACGATATGTTATAATTTGTCATTCAGGATTCAAGGTGCCAAAATTGGTAAAATGTGTTGAAATCCCCCAAAATAATAAAAGTGGTAACCAAAAAATGGAATATAAAACATAAAAGTACGATTTGATCATTGTAAAATCTTTAGTTTTCTATATGCCTGACTCTCTATTATTGAATGCCAGCCACTCTAAAAGATTTAGGAATCAATATCACAAACCAATACCACAACAAAATGAGAAATGTCACTCACAATTTGGTCAATGTGGTCTTGATATGTAATTAATTAATTTTCTTTTAGCAAGCCCATATGTTAACAGCGGCAAGGTGTCTTCGATGTCAGCGCCTTTACTGCCATTTAGTAGCATGGACAAAGTATCCGGACAAAGCACGCCTTGTGGATACTGGGTTCAAATTTTAACCGATGATATGACGTATGGTGGAACGGATGATCTCCATTCAATTAAATTTTGGGTAAATTATACAATTGGCGTACATGAAGAACATAGGTTCCCTTTGAAAGAGGAGCCTCTCAATAGTGGCAAGTACCCAAACAAGTAAGTAGTTGAATTTTTGATTATCGTTTTGTTTGCAATGTTTCAGTGTGATTTTTCGTAAAAGAGTGTTGTTTGAAATAAATAATGATGTATTTCTTTGAATTAAAGCATCAATCATCAATGTACACCACAAAATACACATGTCCTGGTGATGGGTTACCATTCCCGTAACATCTCTCTCCCTCGCGCGCCATCTCTCTCTTTCCACTCTCTCTCTCTCTTATGCCGAATGCACAACTAATCGGGGTCATAATTCACGTGGGGCTCAGATTAAAGCCCAAATCAAATGGGAAAGCCCAGTTTACACTAATATTTTGCCCAATTTTGTCCAATCGAGTCCTACGTGGGACTTTATAGGATTCAATGGGGCAAGGTAGAGCAAGTCCGACGGAGTCCCATGGAGTTCATTGGGCAAATCCCATGAAGTCCCACGAGGTCCCAGGCAATGTTTAGTCTATGTACGTCCGATCCAAACGTGCCCTATTGGTGTATGTTGGGCTTAAATGAGTATAGGAATGCCACGGTTTTAGAATAGTTATTCAAAATATTGGACAAAGGAGGATTCTCGGTTTGGAGAACAGTCTCCTGGGATAATAATTTTTTTCATGAAAAATATAAAAATATTACCCAAATTAAACTATGAATATTCAAAAGAGGACATTTAAATCTACACGATGTAAAAATAACAAATTGGTCTAAGGCAGGGATAACGCTCAATTAGACCGATTCAATAAAATACAAGTCTCGATTTTGGGAAAGAAGTTCATCAGTGTACTGCGCTAATATTTTTTTGCGAAAAATCTAGAAATATTACCCAAATTAAATTATGACTATTCGAAAGAAAACATTCAAATCTATATTATGTAAAAAAATCAAATTTGTCCGAAGCAGGGATAATGCTCATTTAGATTGATGAACTTTGTTCTCCAAACCGAGAATCGTCCTTTTACATAGATATGCAAGAAACAATCATCAACGTTTTTTAGGAATTTGTTATACGTTTATAAGACGTTAAATGAACCGAGCTTCTCTACATAATAGTCCATGGTATATCTCCAGAATATGAAGTTCGTAACACAATATAGCGCAGCAATATTTGAACCAATATTTAAGGAGATGCATATGTCTTGATTATTTCCAAATACCGGTTGAAATATGTCTCTCATCTCAAGGGGTCAAAAAACGCAAACAATTTATTTTGAATTTTACACATATTTTAAAACCCAAGGCGTTGATCTAAGCAGATTTAGATTAGTTTTATCTAAAAGTTAATTATACATTTAATATGAATGTCATTGGTTAATTAGTATAATTACGTGTGTGTGCTTCTTCTTTTCAAATAATTGCCTATGCATTTTGAAAATATAAGACATTGACAAATAGGCAAAGTTTACTACGGCCCGCCGTTATGACATTACACATCACTCGAATTACCATGGTTATTGTTCGCGAATATACCCCGTGTGAAATGTTGACTTTGTTTACAGTTTAAGCGTCTTGGGAATTGCACACCATGGACTATAATAAAGCCTTTGTAAATTAATCATTGCTACTTAAAAACACTTTATATTCATATGAAAAATAACATAATCAACATAAAAACCAATCAAGTTTATGCCAGATCAGGTGCAATGAAATAATTAATTGTATTCACATGCAAGGCATAATTGCAATGCAATGTCAAAAAATTGCAAAAAACAATATCGACCTTTTTGGCACACCTACAGTCAAAGGATGGAGTGTAATAAGGGGCAAATACCTTTCTCCCGTCACTTAATGTATCTTCCATTTCGTCTTTTGATAACTATAGGTGGGACGCATATGGCGTGATTCCCGTAACTTATCTGCCATATGCACCATCATGGATAAAAATCAAAAACGAAGAGGGTGGAACATTGGATAATTGGACAATAAAAAATGTACGTATACTCTGTTCCTTGTCTTATTTCCCCAAACTGTTGCGTTGCATTATTTTTATCCACTTATTCCATATAAGTGTTTTTATGAACATAGCGTTTTGTCCATCATTACAGTCATTATTATAATTAGTAGCGGGGCTTGGTAATGTGAGTTGATCATATTCTTTATTTCTTATAGCTGAGACACACACACCGCAGAAGAACACTCCAAATATATTTCCCGTATCTTTTAATACAAGTTGATAAACTATTCACGTCAGTATATATTGCTATAATCGGAGATCCACTGATTCCCCTCCCCCACCAGTCAGTTGTTTTAGATCCAACTTGCATAATATAGTGTCTTGTCACACGAATGATGCGCAAATAAAATAGCATCTTAAACATACGCTTTTGTGTTATAATCAATGAGCAAGTACATAACAGCAATTTGAGCGAAGGTATCAAATTATTTATTTCCAATACGGTATTGTACGTGATAAATTGCAAGTCGGAACTGATAGACCAACACAATAATCTTTTTTAGAAATATTAAATAATTACATAATTGATTCTTCTCACGTCTCAATTTCTCGTCAAGTCACTGATAGAAACATATTAGTAAAACGGCGTGAAGTTTAACGCCATGTATTAGTCTAGAATAGGTATGTTGAAAATAAAATGACATCTTACATTTTGACGAGCACCTTAACCATGGTTATCAAACGAAAGGTAAAGGGTTTCTTGATTGATACTGAGATTTGCCAAGATGAGATAGGTGTCGGCGTGACTTTTTGGGTAAATTGATAAAAAATATTTTTGAAAACTTATTATATAAAATACAGTTTAGTTGACTCTCAAAAGTCGAAATATACCATGTCTTACCCCTATCACACCAAACTAGTTCTTACCCGTTCTTGCCAGTCCTACGAAAACGTCGTAAAACGGGCTCAATCTGGCTGTGGTCGGGAAATATGTCTAAAATAATTAGCTACTTCGTTCATAAACAGTCTTCAATACGGCCATCTCATTCGCAGTTCGTTCAGGTCGCACCACGTCGGTGTGCAACTTCGTATAATGCGCCCATTAGTCTAGAATTACTCTACCGAGCTGACAGAAGTCAGCTCTGGGAAGTTGGATCGAAAATTCTTGAAAAGGAAAAATCGAGCCCATTTTGAATAAACGTTGTGCTGAGTAGCGTTTATAACACACTATGTATATGAATTAATACATAATTTATTTGTTTATAATGACACTGTTAACACATTTTGACGAGCAGCTTAACCATGGTTAATAATTGAAAGGTAAAGGGTTCCTTTATTGATACTGAGATTAGATGAAATAGGTGTCAACGTGAGTTTTTGGGTAAAAATGTGTTTTTTTGCAAAAAAAAATTAATTGATAAAAAATATTTTTGAAAATGTATTATATAAATTATATAAAATACAGTCTAGTTGACTCTCAAAAGTCAAAATATACCATGTTCAATCAACTAGGGGGAATTTGGGAGGTTACTACTTTTTCTGTATGATTTGTATGCAATATCGACTAAAACGAGTGTGTTCAAAATATGATGACACCGTTAACATATTTTGATGAGCAGCTTAACCATGGTATATAATTGAAAGGTAAAGGGTCCCTTTTTGATACTGAGATTTTCTAAGATGAAATAGGCGTCGAAGTAAGTGTTGGGGTAAAAATGTGTTTTTTGCAAAAATAATTTTATGTTAAAAAGAACATTTTTAGAAGAATTATTATATGAAATACAGGGTGTTCCAAAAGGACTGGTGCTGGCATTTTGTAAATTTTGCAGCAAGTGTCTTCAAATTCTCACAAATTGTACCTTGAAGAATTGTAACTAAAGTTGTATAGTTTTAGAAAGAATGATGAAATGCAGGTAGAGTTGTGGCTACTATAGTAACATGACATCACAATACCCGGGGCAACTTTTTTCTGAAAATGTGATATCTTACATTTTGTATTACTGGAGAAAGTATCTAATTCACCTATTATAATACAACATTTCTTGTTTATTCTATTAGTTGCTTTGTTGTAAAGGTGTTGCTATAAAACCCAGATTCAAGTATAATTTCATAATAATAATATTTATTCAATTTCCTGGAATCTCACTATGAATTACAGTCTGAACAATTCATGGTTGAGTTTTTGAAAAGGCCCAATTTGAAGCCAGCCATTCACCTTGATAACGCGCCTGCCCGCAGGTCACCATTAAAGACCATGCAGCTATAAAGGAGCTAGGTCTTGAGTTCTAAAACCATGCACCATACTCTTCTGCTCATGCAACATCCAATTTTTACTTACATGGAGAATGGAATGCTAATCAGTGCTGTAAGATCTTTAAGGATTAGAATGACCTTCTCCAAGTTGTTCATTTGACCATGTGTGACATGTCCTCAAATGGGTTCACTCATGTGTTTGAGTCATGGATACAGAGTGCTACTCTTCTACTGACCAAAGAGGAGCCTATTTTTCAAAGTACAGATGATACATAGGAATATCAAATTATGTAAAACAAATGTAATTCCCACCAGTTGTTGCATTTTAACTTTGATATGGGATGTACAAAATGCTTAACCGAGTATTGTGATGTCATGTTACCGTAGCAACCATAACTCTACCCGAGTTACATATTTTTTGTCGAAACTTAGCAGTTTTAGTAACGATACATGAAAGTACATTATGTAAAATTTTGAAGACGATTGATGCATATTTAACAAAATGCCAGCACCAGTCCTGTTACTTTTGGAACACCCTGTACAGTCTATTTGACTCAAAAACTCGAAATATACCATGATTAATCAATGGTTCCTTTATTGATACTGATTATAAAAAAGTGACTATTTGTTATCAATTTTGAGAGATTTTCGAAGCTGTTTGAGGTATTGTCTTGTGGTTTGTATCTTGCGAATTCAAAGGCACTTGAAGTAACATTACTGCAAGGACTTAAAACAGGGGGTTGCGGTTGGTGCGATCTGAACCCGACCCAAAAATACAACCAAAAAGAGATGAGATGTTATACAATATAAGTATCTTTAAACCCGGGGTATGAAACACAATGCCTTGAATCTGGGTTTCAATAGCATGGGCTTTTAAGTTTCAATCATAACTTTATTCGTCATGGAGAGGATAAGAGTGGCATATACCGGTTTGAATGTACCAAAACCTTCGCAAGAAAATCATCTAAGTGGCAGCATGAGAAGGGAGGTAGTCATGCAAATAAGGAAAATGAGGAGGAGTTGGTGGTATCAAAGTACATCTGAATGAGAATTATCATTTTAGGTCAACAGTTTAACCATGGTTTAAGTAACATGGGACTACACTTTGCCAGAGTCCATCACACAAGGGGTTTCATCTCTTTTCAACAATTCTGAATAAAGACAAGTTCTCATACAAAATACGTTGAACTCTCCAATTGCCTAATTTTCGTTTGAATGCTCATCTTTTGCTTCTTTTCATTTGCAATTTTGGAATAGTTCCATTATCAAGTATTTCGTACGTATACATCACTCAGAAGTCCAAATGATCGAGCTATTTAAAGATAATCTCTAAATTGGGGACAGTTTATGAAGGTTATAATGCGTTGCAAAGGTTGATCTAACCATGACCAGAATCTTCTATGCATTTGAGATAGGAAGTCTGCTAACAGAGTTGCCAAAGTAGCATCACTTTACTAAAATTAAATGAAGATTGAGTACCACTCTAGTGTAGCTGTGCAAGCGGGATCACAAACCCTTGAATCGTTTTAGCAATTTCTCTATGCCATCCCTCCCTCTTTCCCCCATTCCTTATTAAAACGTGGACAAGCATCGAGTTTTTTTAAAATGTTGAAATCGTTTATTTGGAGATATTACGAACCAAATTGACATGTTCGGTTCGTGAAAGATTAAAGTATCTGTCGCTGACAAGTGAAATCGGTTCCAAGAGTTTTAAGTTTAAAAAGTTATGACAACTTTTGTCATTTTTCACGTTTTTGTAAATGTAAACAAAGGAGGTTGAGAACCTAAGGCTTTTCCATTATTCTATCGACAGAGATGTATTTGGTGTCTATAGAAAGTAGAATCAATTCCCTAGAGCATGTGCTATACAGTATCGCCGTGCGAACTTGCTTGATGAATTTTTGAAAATCGTTATTCCCATGTAATCCAATGGGAAATGGAGGGTTCGGGGCAAATCAGAAATCAGGATATCTTTTCAGTAAAAGATTCAGCAAAAAATATCTTTATATAGAAAATAAAATTGTCTAACTTTTTTGAACACTAAGTGTTTAGTTTATTTGATGAATATATATATTCTTCAGGTTCAACAAAGTTACAGCGCTTCAAAGTCATTTTTGAAAATAATTTTTCGCCTCCTGTGTTATTTCAATGGGAGAGGTTTTTTGAAAAAGAATTTTGACTTTAAAGCCCTATAACTTTGTTGAACCTGAAGAAACATATCAATTTTTTGTTAAATAAAGTTAGCAAATTCAATTGCTTGCCTAACTCGTATTTTTGCAAGGACTCGGATGGATGGATATTCTGTCATATGACTTGCGGCAAACCTACCATTTCCCATTGGTTAACATGGGAATGTCAATTTTCAAAAATTCATCAAATTTATCATCAATTTTCGACCTATTGTAATTGATGAAAAAAATTGAGAAAATTTGGGGGTATTGGAAATAAAGTCAAGTTACGTGTCCATCAATAGTATAAGTCATTTCATCGTCGGTTAAGTAAATAAAAATTCAAACGTAAAGAGGCTTTAACACGTAGTTCAATGGGGAAAAAAGGTTGCCAAACTTATGGAGGGGAGTGTACGAATAATTCATAATGTACCTACATGTATGTAATCATGTATTCGCATAATAAGCAGAAAACATTCCAAATACAATGCGATGAGTGGACTTCAAGTATATTCCTCTGAATCATCGTTTTGGCCGACTCTGTGCCCAACCCACTAGGTTCGTACATCTTCCCTCATTTCTAGAGTTTAATTATGTATCCCCTAATGCTGCATATGATTGGCCTTTATATTCACTTTTTTCATTGCTTTGCAATTTTTTCAAGGTGGTGTTGTTGAACACTTGCACTGGCAAAATCTGCGAGTTCAACTGCAATGATGGCTGCCAAGTCGTGGATGATTACTGGTACCCACCAGTGCCATATGTGTGGATTGAAGCAACACAAACGTGCGAGTGAGCGAATTAATGGCACTGTATCAAAGGTTTTACAGTTTGACAAACGCAAAAGCTTTACATGTATTTCATGATAGTCCACAATTAAAGTTTGAAATGTAATCTAGTGTCATGTTTCTCAGCTTGGTATTTGTTGATCATGGCACGATATACATGACATAAAATGTGCCCACTTTCAAATACGAACCGCTGCATTTCGAATTGATACTGTACTCGATATGTTGATTATTGCATAAGCTATGTATCCCCCTTCCCAACAAAACGACAAGGGTAATCAATCAAAAGTGGAATAAAACGCCGACATTGTGCATGACAACACGTTCTTTTATCACATTACATAATTTTACTGTTAGAATTCGAATATGGTCAAAATATTAATTATTCTTCTTGATATAGGATGTTTAGTTTGATACATGTTTTAACACTGTAATAGTTTAGCTGATAATTTTAAATCTCTCTAACACTCAAGGCTCACACAAGTGAAATATTATTTTCCATTATTCGCAATTTTCTATAAAAGTAACATTAAAACTTTTATTTGAGACAAATGCTCTGAAATATTGATGCCATAAATACATAAAACAAAACCTCATTGAGTAAAACACGTCATAATTAAAAATTATATGTTTGCCTTTTTTGTAAGCAGACAGTCCATAATATCTAAATTGATATATACCAAATGTAATAAAAATCCTGTACCAGTCTCTTGTCCGTTGCGCATCTATCCCGGGGCATCTATCGATGATTAAAAACACTAAACTGCTTAAAGCTGATTGGTGGTTATATACAGTATTTGGCATATTTCAATTTTATTTATTGCCCCATATATATGCACAATTCTGTATAGTTGGTTCAGACGTCGAGATCGGAAACACAGGAAACAATTCTAACAGAGACTAAAGACTTCAGAGAGGATGCAGTTCTTTATTCTGGCCCTTGTGGCCCTTAGTTTCGCATCAGCAATGGGTAAGTGCTTATACTAAATTAACCCTAGAAGCCCTAAGGTAAAAAAAAAGTCACACGAACACCTAAGGGGGGGGGGGGTCAAAAGGGCACCCCCTTGTAAAACTTTTATTACAAGAGCTAGGATGTTCAGACTTTCCCCAAATATACTTCATTCAATTCTCTACAACTTGAAGTAATAACTTTAACAACCATGTTGATGCAAGATTGCGTAATTTTATTCTAAAGACAACGCGTATGGTAGAATTAGTGCTAGCTTTTTTTCCGATTTTGTCGATTGGAGCTGATGATTACATCATAATAAATTAATAACAAACTAGTGAAGCTAGGATGTTCAAACTTTCCCAAAATATACATCATGTAATTCTCTACAACTTGGTGTAAAATCATTAACAACTTTGATGAGGTAAGATTGTGTAATTTTATTCTAAAGACAATAGTATTGTAGAAATAGTGCTAGCTTTTTCCGATTTTGTCTATTGAAGCTGATGATTACATCATAATAAATCAATTACCCTATGTGCAATTTTGCTGAAGATCCTACCAGATGCCAATAAAACGCCCCCCCCCCTTAGGGCTTCTAGGGTTAACATAATATTCTTTATCTTGAGATATTTTCCATACGTATTATTGTACCACGTCTTTTAGTCTTTCCGTTCAGACATTCAGTGATATTGTTTGAAAATGAAATAGAGGTTATTTAAAGGGAGGGATGGGATATGAATTTTAATTCGAGGGAAAACATGATATTGACCATGGAGAATATCATATTGACCCCGGGATATTGACCGAGGGCGACGGGATCTTTTGAATATCAGTTTAATTCCCAGGGAAAACATGTCATTTTGGAAAAAATCTGCTTTCCCATTTGCATCACAATTTCTAAACGGAGTAACCGTTTCTATGACTATTAAATTTTCGTAACAGTCAAAAAAGTTTTGGGATTTACAACGAGTTTCATAGTTATGTCACGTTTATCAAAATCATGAAATATGATCGTGTAAACGAGAGTTGATCCAAAAGTTCTTCACCGATGCTCTATGGACCTTAATATTTGATGCATGGCTATAAATGGTGATACTAACCCTTAAGTGATTATAATTAGGCCTCCCTGTGTAAACTCAATTTGAAAAAGTTTATTGAGGTCACATTTGCTCCGATTCATCGGCCGGCACCCGGCCGATTGCAGTATTTTGATCCAAAATTCAAATCCAAATTGACCAAACTTTTTTTAAATCATGTACAAGTTTTCAGGATTTCACATCTGACTTCACAGGAGCAGTACCGGTATCAATATGGTGGACTTTTTGAACACGCATTTCTCTTAAACCAGTCATCAAAACATTCTGTAAATTTTACACATCGTCAACTTAATGGTCGTCTTTTGGATGGTAACATTATAATTTGAAATATTTATATATACTTTTATCTATATTGTTTTAGAAAACACATCAGATACTTCTTTCGTTCTTGGTATCATATGTTCGGAATGAAATGAAACATCTATCCGAACCTCATTGGAACAAAACGACATAAACACAACGTGTTTTGGTCTCTCAATATTGTAATTGTACAAAGGAACGTTTGGTTGATTTTGAAAAAGTATCTTATCTTAAAAGGTTTATCTTAATTTTTATCTATTTTGGGGGGTTTTGTTTTAAGTTTTTGCATAACTTTTGTTAAATCAACCAAAATTTCCTTTGTATAACTATGATATTGAGAAGACTAAGAAAATGTTGTATATGCTATTTTCGAAAGACATTTTATTTCATTCTTAAGAATTGGTAGAACGGAACAAAAAACAATCGCACTAAAAACAAAAAAATGTTAACAAAAACAGTTATATAAAATATATACATGTACAAATAATTTTTGCATTTATTTTTGCCAATCAGTCAACATTACATAAGGACCGTGTTTTTACAGAATGTTTTCAATAATTGGTTTAGGAGAAAAACATTGTTGAATTCAGTTCACTATATCGATACCTATCCTTTGAGATTTGAACTTCAATTTTGAACAAAATACTCAATCAGCCGGGCGCCGGCCATCGGAGTAAATGTGACCTAGGCATTAGCATGGAACAAAAGGGACATCCCTCACCGGTCTGTTGATTTTTTGAAAATCCATACGAATGGTTTTTGTTGGGTTCGTTCAAAAATGTAATTGTTCATTTAACTCGGCTTGAAATTATATAAGATTGTTAAGGATTTAAATTCCATACAGAATATTTTCATTGATTTACCATGACAAGCCTATAACTGCCCTTTGCCTTGAAAGCAAGGAGTGCGTTACTTTGGCTAATTTTCTTATTTTCATCACTAGTATGAGTAAAAATAATTCGTTTTATAAGCTACCATATCAAGATAATAGCAATGTGGTTTGCGGAAAATACCTTATATATATCATACATTACATTTAATGCAAAGTTTTGTTTAGATTATTTTTTCATCACATTTTATAAATCAAAGGTTCACTGGATCCAATGGGTTGGCAACCACCACCACCACCACCACCACCACCCCCACCGTCTGATCCTAATACACCTCCAGACAGTCCAAACTACGAAAAACAAGGTACGTACCTGAATTTCATTTTTCATTTCATTTGAGTTACCATTTTCTCACTCAAACACCATAGTGCAATATATACATGTAGTAGGGTAATGTAACCTGATATCTTAAGTTAGAAACAACTCCCCGTCTCAATTCGACATGAACTTATATATCTAAATATCCTGGCTATTATCGCATCCTACGACCCCTTTAGATTGTGGTCGTACGCGCGTATAATTGGTCAGTCAATGTTTTTACAAAGTTGTTGGAGAAAATACTACGCATTGCACACCTAAATGACCTACCTCGATACATTCCTTAGTATTTTAGAATTCTTTTTATGTTGTTAGATCGCCAATTGTGTGGGTTTATCGGCAGAACGAAGAGATTTTAGTTTTTACATCGGAAATATATCAGCAATTTTCAAAATGTCGGAATGGGAATTCCCCAGGGATTTCCCTTATGACTGGTGCATGCCGGGAACTGAATGGAGGAATTTGACGGTTGAAATAAGTTAAATATTACACGCAAATATTGCTATCAAAAACGAAAACCTCTTCGTTCTGCCGATAAACCCACACAATTGTGGATTCAACTACACAAAAAGAATGCTAAAATACCAAGGAATCTATTGAAATAGGTATCTTAAGTGTAAGTAGCGTAGAAAATTCTCCCATGTTGTAATCGTACAGACAAAAGAATAAGACGTTCGCAAGACTAGAACGTAGAGATAGTCTTGGAACGAGATAACCTGGCTACTCTCTGCGGATGGATGAGCTTGGTAGTGGTGATTTAGTCAGTGTACATAAACATGATGACGTTCTGGTACTCAAACTATGTAAGAGAGCAGAACTTTAGATTTTCGTGGGATATTTTTGTTGAATTTTTTTTGACACGAAGGTGAGATGTTTCCCTGTATTTCTCTGAAATACTTTGAAAATCGATGGGCTGCGATTTGAGAAATTCTAATTTGAGCTTTGTCAATTTATTAAATTGATAATTATCATGCATCTCAATGGTACAAAAAGTAAGGAGATTAAGGAGAGTTCTACCTTTGCCACATGCTGGGATTGAACCCATGACCTTGGCATCAGAGGTTTAGAGTGCTATACCTTAGCTTTATTACGGTATATGGATTATTTGGCCTTGTAGGATTGACTGTGGATCGGGGACGGTCATTATGAGACACCCTGAATTTTCGAATGTCGATGTTTGAACCTTTAATAACCATTTTATACTGATGATTGAAAAGTAAAGAACCTTTTCATTTGAGATTTTTCTCGTAACATCGGAAGTAAATTTACGAGTCGAGAAAAAACAGTGATGATTAATGTTCATTTTAAGAAAGGAGGAAGTCAAAATGTTCCTGATATAAGAAATCATATAAATCAATTGAAGATCATTATGAAGCATTTCAAATCGAATCAAATGGCAGGATTTGAAAAATAGAAAATCGCTTATGCAAGGACGTTTGAGAAAATACTTCTGGTTTAGCGTTATCGGTGATCGTAAAAATATGTCATTTATTTGCATGATATCTGTTATTGATCGACCTGGTACAGTGACCTTTAATGCATTCATATAGATGACGCTTTCATCACAAAATGTATAACTTTGAAGTTATATGTGTTATAAAAAGATCGTAGAAGACATGACATATTTTACCATTTCGTGTGCCTATTCATTTAGCGATTTATCGGTAAACTTTCTCATTCAATGATTTTGTAGATTTGTTTAATTTTCTTGCAGAAATCGTATAACTCTCCTCCCTCCATTCATTTTGTTTGTTTAACACTTTCTTGACATTCATATAAGAGGAAAATATTGACCTGGTGACGGAAAAGTTTTTAGGAGAAAAACTGAAATATACTTTCTAATAGAATTATCATATTTCAACATCTTGTCTAAAATTTGGTGTAAAACTACTGAATGGAGATCATTTTATTGATGTAGATAATTGAAATAATGGCGCCAAAGGGGGGGGGGGGGTGTATAGGGGGTCTTGGAAATCCATATACAATATTTTGCAGCTCTCTTATACCATATACAATATTTTTTACCCCTTTTATACCATATACAATGTACGATATTTTACAAAAGTTCAGGTGAAATACAATAAACGATAATTTTGAAACTGCTGTTGATTAAAGTTTAGATATTCATAAGGAAATAATATTAGGAAAGAATCCATATACATGTATTACAGTAAATGTATTACTATAAGGTAAATAGACTGCACATACAGACCACAATGATTCCATTTATTACATTATGAATAAGACACCAATCGGGTACAAGCAAGTTGATTTAAACATATTTATGGTATAAGATTCATGACTTCTCTTTAGTGATTTCACAACATACTTTTACCATGAGCTTTCTTGAAAACTTGAAAGCCCGTGCTTTGACCAAAACACTAACTTAACATTTCTGCAATTGGCTAAAGCCATTACCTGTAAAAGTACTATAAAGATATTCAAAATTAGCACAAAACTTGCATCATTGGAATGGGTGGAACTCAGTGTACCTTTTTCTTATGACTTACTTTTCCATATGACTTATTTTAATGTCAATGTGATCCTTCAAAGTGAGCCAGGGAAAAAATCCTTGAAACATAATTGATGCAAAATTGCGAATATGGAATAAAAGATGTATCATGTGTTCTATGAAAATAAAGTTTGCTGAGGAAAATAAGTACACATAACACTATCAGGTAGATAGTGAAGATTCACAATGCACAATAATTTTGTGAAACAGTCACCTGGAAAATATGAAGTATTGAAAACAGTTTCGGAAACAAAGGACTTAACAAACTTCCATGTACAGTAGATGATTCATTTTTGATTGGACTCGAGTCTGGAAACTAGAGTTTGAAATAGAGGCAAAATGAGACTTGACTGTTTGAACATTTGAAACAGAGACACTTCCGGTTTCAGATAAGGCAGCCTAAAGTCAAACAAAAGTGTGCCAAAATTAAGCAAAATTCCATAAAGGTCATATCACTTGTTTCACGAATGATTTCGCAATTCACAATTCGAGTTTTAGTCTTATTACATCACCAAAAATTCCAAAACATGCATGAAGTGATCAATGAATTAGTTCAGATCTTCAGTAACTTAGAATTTACAACCAGTTACTAATGTCAAACGTTAACAAAATTTCGTCGAGTTTTCGAATACCACCATTTTTCTTGGAGGCATTTGTTTTAATTTTAGACGAAATGCTTACGAAATCATGCAATATCTCATCAAGGAGCCTAGCCAGTTCCATTTCAATTCATGAAATATTCACATTACGGTTTTTAGAATATTACTTAAATTTATTGAACCCCAACTAGAAATTTTCCAATAGTCTACGGTGTTATTTCTAGCCAAGAATTGGCTAGAGACTCGAGTAACATTAGCCTAAAATATGCACCTGTTCAAATTCCCAATAAATAGCTGAAATCCAACATATGACAGTATGAAATCTGTTGCGATACCTTCCATGGTCTTTTCCTTGATTAGTATTATGACCAAATAAACACCGTATGCCATATTAGCATTCTAGTGATGCTTGTATTAAAACATACGCTGTACGAACACTTTGTACTCAAATACTTTAATGATTTATCCAACATACCCCGAAACAAGAGTAGCCATTGTGATCATATTTTTCATCAAAGTTGAGAAGAGTCAATTGCATTTTACATTCTTATTCGATACTGTATTTAACACCTCCTGTGAAAATTTGAATGAAAAGGGCACAAAACTCTTAGTTTAAGAGTGATTTTTTGAAAACGTATTTATCGACCTTGAATGTGGAACCAATTAGAGAGACTACTTTTCCATGTTTTTCCAACATGGTTACAGTCAGCACAATGGGGAATTTTAAGCAACAATTTCTTCATAATTAGGCTTCTTTAACATATATTTAACCTACAGGTGCCTTCTTGATATCATATACCATATATTTTCTCTTATACCATATACCATATTTTTTACACCTCTTATACAATATACAATAAATTTTCACCCTCTTATACGATATACAATATCCCTATACACCCCCCCCCCCCCAAAGGCCGAGCCTATCGTCCTGAGTAATAAGGCTCCATATGAAGCCTATCGTTGCAAAGGGTTGACGATCGTTCTGCATATACCAAATCATTTATTGTGTCCATTGACCTCATTTGCATATCACGATTTGCGATTTTGAATAAGGATCAGAAAAATCTGCGGATATTCAGGTATTAACCGATAAATCATGTATTGAAATTCGCGGGTCTACGTGTACGTATTTTCCCCAAAATTATAGGTGATTACTTCTTGCTTGTAACATATGCATATATTAATGGTATCACTTTGTGTGCTTAGCTCAAGCCGGCGAGAGAGAAAGTAATGACAAAGGCCGTGGATTTAGCTTAAGTATGTCAGGCACGGGTGGGAAGTCGACCGCTATGGCATCATTTGGTCTCAGTGCTCCATGCGGATATTGGGTTATGGTTAAGACGTGTACGCATACTTATGCTGCATCGAATGACGTATATGGAATTAAATTTTGGGAACCAACAAATGGTGTATATAAAGATCTTAAGTTCCCTTTGAATAAGGCCAACGACAAGAAACGTGGCTCGTAAGTAGAAATGGTATTAACATTGTGCAGTATTCTTGTATTTTTCCGGGAGTTTTCAGAAAGAAAGTAATTACAATGATGAATTAATCAAAAATCTTATTTCTAGAATCTTAATTAGATTTTACACCATTAAGCATCTCAACAACAAACGTATTGGAAATACATACCATACATACCCTACAACTGTGTATTTAGCAATAATAAAAACACTATTGCCATTATATATCTGCACTCTATCAGTATGAATAAACACACTACTCTATGTACTATTTCAGATGGGATGCTTACGGTGTGATTCTGCGAAAATATATCCCATTGCCACCTACATGGATAAAAATCTCTAACGAACGACCCAGAAATAGGTGGCCAATAGACAACTGGCAGATTAAAACCGTAAATAGAAACATTAAGCTGTTATTATGTCACCACCAAAAGTGGTGACATATTGTTATGGTCTCCGTTTTTTGCGACGGCGGTTGGCGTCCGGCGGTTGGCGTCCGGCGTCTGTAACAATTTCTTACAACTTCCTATAACTTAACAAATACTGTTTAGACTGACTTCAATTTTTTTCTAAATCATCTACATGTTCTCAGAAATTCAAATCTGACTTTAGATTTGACATTTGACCTTCAATGACCTTCTCAAGGTCAAAAAGGTCTTTTTTCAACTTGCTCCACATTGACTAAATTTTTTTTCAAAATCATCTACATGTTCTCAGAAATTCAAATCTGACTTTAGATTTGACATTTGACCTTCAAATCTGACTTTAGATTTGACATTTGACCTTCAATGACCTTCTCAAGGTCAAACAAGGTCAAAAAGGTCTGTTTTCAACTTGCTTCAAATTGACTAAATTTTTTTTTCAAAATCATCTACGTGTTCTCAGAAATTCAAATCTGACTTAAGATTTGACTTAAGATTTGACATTTGACCTTCAATGACCTTCTCAAGGTCAAAAAGGTCTGTTTTCAACTTGCTTCAAATTGACTAAACATTTTTTTCAAAATCATCTATGTGTTCTCAGAAATTCAAATCTGACTTTAGATTTGACTTAAGATTTGACATTTGACCTTCAATGACCTTCTCAAAGTCAAAAAAGGTCAAAAAGGTCTTTTTTCAACTTGCTTCAAATTGACTAATTTTTTTTTCAAAATCATCTACATGTTCTCAGAAATTCAAATCTGACTTTAGATTTGACATTTGACCTTCAATGACCTTCTCAAGGTCAAAAAAGGTCAAAAAGGTCTGTTTTCAACTTGCTTCAAATTGACTAAATTATTTTTTCAAAATCATCTACATGTTCTCAGAAATTCAAATCTGACTTTAGATTTGACATTTGACCTTCAATGACCTTCTCAATGTCAAAAAAGGTCAAAAAGGTATTTTTTCATCTTGCTTCAAATTGACTAAATTTTTTTTCAAAATCATCTACATGTTCTCAGAAATTCAAATATGACTTTAGATTTGACTTTAGATTTGACATTTGACCTTCAATGACCTTCTCAAGGTCAAAAAAGGTCAAAAAGGTCTTTTTTCAACTTGCTTCAAATTGACTAATTTTTTTTTCAAAATCATCTACATGTTCTCAGAAATTCAAATCTGACTTTAGATTTGACATTTGACCTTTAATGACCTTCTCAAGGTCAAAAAAGGTCAAAAAGGTCTGTTTTCAACTTGCTTCAAATTGACTAAAAAAAAATTTCAAAATCATCTACGTGTTCTCAGAAATTCAAATCTGACTTTAGATTTGACTTAAGATTTGACATTTGACCTTCAATGACCTTCTCAAAGTCAAAAAAGGTCAAAAAGGTCTTTTTTCAACTTGCTTCAAATTGACTAAATTTTTTTCAAAATCATCTACATGTTCTCAGAAATTCAAATCTGACTTTAGATTTGACATTTGACCTTCAATGACCTTCTCAATGTCAAAAAAGGTCAAAAAGGTATTTTTTCACCTTGCTTCAAATTGACTAAATTTTTTTTCAAAATCATCTACATGTTCTCAGAAATTCAAATCTGACTTTAGATTTGACTTAGGATTTGACATTTGACCTTCAATGACCTTCTCAAAGTCAAAAAAGGTCAAAAAGGTCTTTTTTCAACTTGCTTCAAATTGACTAATTTTTTTTTCAAAATCATCTACATGTTCTCAGAAATTCAAATCTGACTTTAGATTTGACATTTGACCTTTAATGACCTTCTCAAGGTCAAAAAAGGTCAAAAAGGTCTGTTTTCATCTTGCTTCAAATTGACCAATTTTTTTTTTCAAAATCATCTACATCTTTTCAGAAGTTCAAATTTGACTTTACAAGTTCTCAGAAATTCAAATCTGACTTAAGTTTGAACTAATAATATTGTCAGCAACTAGGTGGTGACATTTTGTCATGTTAATGCCTTGTATCAATTTATTATATAACCAACAATTCACCCAAGGTCACTCATTCTAGATTTTATTGACACTTTCTAAACCGATAAGCTGATAAGTTCACATTTGAGTCTAATGTCTAATATTGTTTTCATGGTGACAACCCATGATCACACTACTATACCTTGCATTAGGTGTTCATGAGCAACCCATTTGGCTTATTAGTAATGATTATGTATTTGTTTTTATTTGTCTGTTCCTTATGAATGGTTTATCGGTTGAAAATTAGATGCTAGTAAGGCACTTTCAAAAATATATTAAACAATTCAATTAGACAAACAAAGTATCTTATGCATTTCTAGGTGTTAGGTATAGTAGTGTGATGATACGGACTGACAAAAACAGAAGTGATAAATTGACCCTTGCAAAAAGTTTACTTGAAAATATATTCTTTTAGGTCATTTCATATATTTTTAGTGATATCGATATTGTAAAAAATATTTTGCAATGTGTGAAAACAATTTAAGCCTAATGCACAATTTATTGTGGAATGACCTCTCCCTTCATTGAGGCGTTGTTTCCTAAAATTAACCATCGATGCCAGCATCTCGTGCAAATTCTGACGGTCACAACTATAACTAGACTAAGTTGCACAGTATATATTCTCTTATGCAATGTATGTCTGTTTTAGGTCATCTTATTGGACTCTTGTTTTGGCAAGATATACGAGTTTTCATGCGATTGTTGCTGGATGAAATACCACCAACAGTACTACTACCCTTACAAAGAGGAAATGTATACATGGATAAAACGCACATTTCCATAGTAACAACTGATTCGATTCGATTTTGTTCATCTACAATCCAACTGGAATCATATGTAACGTCATAGACGTTAAATAAAAATTAGAACACGAATCCTTAAAACTGAATGTGTCTCTCTTTTATCAGATTTGGGATAGTAAACTGAATTTCAGTTTTGTAATTGTAAAATACCCTATCCATTTTAGAAATCGTAAACGTGCTGTGTTCAGACTGTTGTCTCTAAAATACGACGCACACACGTCAATGAACAGTCTTCAATACACAACTTATTGTAGGACAAACTCTGAGTGCATGTAATATTGGTGTTCTGTGAAACAGGCTTTTTATATTTAGTTAAACCATACTTAGGTAGCAACACAATAGAATGGAAAGTAGTTTATTTTAAAGAATAAACAGTTGTAACAAAGAAGAGTGCATTTTTTCTTTTGTTATTAAAGAAATGACACTTGGCAAAATATCCCAAACCAGTGCTACACAAAAGACGATTGACTGTCACATCAGTGCAATAAATCTGAACTAATTACACTCTATTCAGCCATTCAATAGTTCAATAGTAAACACAAAATATATCACATTTTGAACTGCACCTGGCCTGCTACATACAGTGCACTGAAGCTGAACTAATTACACCTACTCACTTCTCAACACACTTACCTCATAGTCAATACAAAATAAATCACATTTTGAACTGCACCTGGCCTGCTACATACAGTGCACTGAAACTGGACTAATTACACCTACTCACTTCTCAACACACCTCATAATCAATACAAAATAAATCACATTTTAAACTGCACCTGGCCTGCTACATACAGTGCACTGAAGCTGGACTAATTACACCTACTCACTTCTCAACACACTTACCTCATAGTCAATACAAAATAAATCACATTTTGAACTGCACCTGGCCTGCTACATACAGTGCACTGAAGCTGGACTTATTACACCTACTCACTTCTCAACACACTTACCTCATAATCAATACAAAATAAATCACATCTTAAACTGCGCCTGGCCTGCTACATACAGTGCACTGAAGCTGGACTTATTACACCTACTCACTTCTCAACACACTTACCTCATAATCAATACAAAATAAATCACATTTTAAACTGCACATGGCCTGCTACATACAGTGCACTGAAGCTGAACTAATTACACCTACTCACTTCTCAACACACTTACCTCATAGTCAATACAAAATAAATCACATTTTGAACTGCACCTGGCCTGCTACATACAGTGCACTGAAGCTGGACTTATTACATCTACTCACTTCTCAACACACTTACCTCATAATCAATACAAAATAAATCACATCTTAAACTGCGCCTGGCCTGCTACATACAGTGCACTGAAGCTGGACTTATTACACCTACTCACTTCTCAACACACTTACCTCATAATCAATACAAAATAAATCACATTTTAAACTGCACATGGCCCGCTACATACAGTGCACTGAAGCTGAACTAATTATACCTACTTCTTAACACACTTACCTCATAGTAAAAAAACAAACATTTTAACCGAAATAATTTCAAGATGCTCTTATTTGTTATTTACAGTGAATCTTATTTGAATAGAAATATGACACAAATCATATTCTCTTGTAATGGATTTTATTAATAGAACATCAGTTTATTTACCATTTTGAATAGTCTCAAAGAGATTAACCCTCCTGATACTAAGACAGGTGTAAAAGGGTAGGTGGTCCTATCAAATTTTGGTCCTACTCTCTATTGAGTTATATGGTGACCTAATTACAATTATTTTCCTTATTATTCATTCACAGTCAGGGCCAGTAAGGCCCGTAAGGAAAGGGGATCATAATCCCCAGTGGACCACAATTTCTTTTACACCGGCACGCAATGCTTTGCCAGATGTTGTAGTGCTATAACCCACTCTTGTACTTTGTTGGTCTAATTGTATTGTTTAGTATATTTTTGAAAGTGCCTTAGTAACATCTAACATTCAAACGATAAATCATTAATAAGGAATAGACAAATAAAAACAAATACATTATCATTACTAATGAGCCAAATGGGTTGCTCATGAACACCAAATGCAAGGTATAGTAGAGTGTATTCATTTATCAACGTAATTTGTTTTGGGAGGAACTTATGGAACTGCCATCCTTTGACTTACTTTATTTGGTCAACTCAGACAGCAACATGAGCAAGGTAAGGTGGATTTAATGTTGTATGGTGAATCTTCTTTATCAGGTCTGACAAATCAGAGAATTATTGAAACGACTGCACGTTTTCTCCAATTTATTGTCTCGACTTTAAGTGAGTAGTATTCCTGTCTGAGTTGACAAATAAATTTTCATTGCAACTTCTATATTTTACTTATATTTACAATTAACTAACAGGGCCAATAATGCATTGGCTAGCTGAGTTTGTAAAAGATGTACTAATTGTTATGATAATAAAAACCCTTAAATCTAATATTTCAATTACCAGTCAAAACAAAATCTTATCAAAAATTGTATGAAAACAGCTCAGTATTTTGCCCCCGAGGTACCCACCTTTTGCTAATATTCGTAAATCTTCCTTAAACTGATTTATTATTCTTATTTTTATGTTTGTCATATACAAAAATAAAATATATCAATGATGCTTAAGAAATGAAAAATATGCACTAATAGGAGTGCGTCCTTGGGGATTGGTGTATGTAACCCCTTATTAAAAGTGGCTGTGTTAAAATATAAACGCTACAGAAATAATAGTTTCTTGAATAATACAATTTATTCATTTTTGTCACTTCAAACAAAAGTAAAGAAATACGTTTTCTTTTGTTTTGTTACGTTTCATTGTTCTTTGTATTGATAAATTGAATATGATACAAAAGAAAGTGTCTTTTCAAATACAATGTAAACCCTGATGGGCTCCTCCACCTTTTTCACAAATAATAGAATCATTATGAACATTATGCTGTCATTTTAAATATACAACTGTGACTTTATTGAAAACCTAATATTTCCCTAGAACCAAAAGCTAGAACGGAATGTAGTTTTGATCATTACTTCCAGGGAGGGAAACAATTACAAGGAAGGAAAACATAGTTAGTGACATCATACTAATATAAGAATTGTGTTCGTTCTAAACATTGGTGATTTTTGAAACAAAGCAGGAAAACCGAATTAGATATATTTTATCCTCTGGGCTAAGTACTGGCATTCGTTTATATTGTAAATTGTATTGGAATATCATCGACATCCTTCATTTTCTCTTGATAGACTGCATCAAACTTTTCACTTTGAGCAACCGTGAACCAGTTTTTCCAGTCACCAACTTCGCCTAGAAATAATAAAAATTGAAAAAGTCATATTATGTAAATACCAAGTCAAATTATGTAAACACTAAGTCATATTATGTAAATACTAAGTCAAATTATGTAAACACTATAGTCATATTATGTAAATACTAAGTCAAATTATGTAAACACTATAGTCATATTATGTAAATACTAAGTCAAATTATGTAAACACTAAGTCATATTATGTAAATACTAAGTCATATTATGTAAATACTAAGTCATATTATGTAAATACTAAGTCATATTATGTAAATACTAAGTCATATTATGTAAATACTACGTCAAATTATGTAAACACTAAGTCATATTATGTAAACACTAAGTCATATTATGTAAACACTAAGTCATATTATGTAAACACTAAGTCATATTATGTAAATACTAAGTCATATTATGTAAACACTAAGTCAAATTATGTAAACACTAAGTCATATTATGTAAACACTAAGTCATATTATGTAAATACTAAGTCATATTATGTAAATACTAAGTCAAATTATGTAAACACTAAGTCATATTATGTAAATACTAAGTCAAATTATGTAAACACTAAGTCATATTATGTAAACACTAAGTCATATTATGTAAATACTAAATCAAATTATGTAAACACTAAGTCATATTATGTAAACACTAAGTCATATTATGTAAACACTAAGTCATATTATGTAAACACTGAGTCATATTATGTAAATACTAAGTCATATGTCAAATTATGCAAACACTAAGTCATATTATGTAAATACTAAGTCATATTATGTAAATACTAAGTCATGTATTATGTCATATCCTGTAAATACCAAGTCATGTATTATGTCATATCGTGTAAATACTAAAGCAAAATGGTATAATTTCTGTTAAAAATGACATGGGACTCAAAATTATGAAGCGATACAATTTCTTTCAGATGGAACTGAACCTTAATCTTAACCTCTCTATCACCTTTTCTGTAAAAGCCATGAGCGCCTTCTCGCATAATGTCTTTAGCAACTGATCCTTTATGTTCTTTCATCACATTGAAACAACATTGGTCTACAATACTTTGTATGACATCAGCTGTTAAATCTCTGCCTAGAAATTCACTGATTCTTCTCACAGTACTCTCTAAATCCTAAAATAGAAATAACTAAATTGGTAAATTGAACAAAGTTCAATTTAAGTCTCCAGATTTCAGACTTTATTTAATTGTCTATTTTTAAACAGATAAACTGATGAATGAACAGTAACTGGTATTTTTCAACGCAAAGTTTTGAGTAGAGTGTTGCTACGCTGGATTCTAGTTAGATATAGCCTAAAAAGTTTGAAATTTACGTATTTTTCGTATAAACTTATTTATTTAGACTCATTGAAGATTTTTCGGGACTGAAAATATGGATTCTAGTTGAATATGGTTTAAAAAAGGATGTAAATAAACATTAGAGTCTAAGCTTGCATAAATATTGAAACGCCAACCAATATGTATGACCAATCGCCCATGCAAATGCATCGCTTAAATCTTTTCCGTTCTCGTTTAGGTTGTGAAAAACATTACAAGCTTAAACTCCCTATTGTTTAGCCCCAAACCCCTATGAAATGAAGCCACGCTATCTTTGAATTTACGTGTTTTTCATGTTTTTCACTATTTATCATTTTAAAAAGCTTATTTATTCTGTCTCACTGATGCAAGTTCAGGGCGGCTAAACCGGTTGGTTCTAATTGAACATGATCTAAACAGGATGTTTATAAATATCGTTTTGCCCCAGCTCTCCAGGAAATGTACCATGGTCTCCTTAAAATTTACTTTCTGCGTTTTTCGTGAAAATCAAAATCGTGGATTTTATTTATACTGATAACATAGGATGGCCAAGGTAGTTGATATTGATACTTTTGATCTCATCGTGTGATACTGAATTTGAAAATACACATTGTATTGCTGAAATGTTGAAAGGGGCGTAGACTATATCATCAATCTATGCTTCCGAGTGGCTTAGGACAAGTATATGTAGTGATTAGTCGCTATCAGGTTCGTTGAGATAAGTGAGGTCTTTATATTGCTTTGTTGTCTTAAAAATATGTAAAGCACGTACATTCTGAAGAGAGCGTGTGTATATTTTGTACATTTCTAAAGGGCTGGGTCAAAATAATATTTATGCTCAATACATCTTCACCATATTCAACTGGAATCCAATTAGTTTGTACTGAATAAACGTCAAGAAGCCAGAATAAATGCCTATTAAAAATATCTTTCACAATGTGTACTTCCTGGCCACAAATACAATGTTTAAGGAATAAATAATGATAGGCCATTCAATATGGTGAAATTCAGCACGAGTTGGACAGAATGTCGTACAAAGCACGAACCGAAGGTGAGTGCATTTGTACTGACATTCTGTCCAACGAGTGCTGAATTTCACCATATTGAATGGCCTATCATTATTTATTCCGATTCAAACATATAAAAAATGAAAACATTGTTCAGAGAATTGGGGATTGGAGCTACATGAGATACACCAAACTCGAGCTCGCTGTTATTTTCGCCATTCCCAGGTGTGACGTCACAATGCAAATACAATACGTAGATTCCCGGATGATTGGATAGAGCACGGTCGTGCATCTATGGAGAATTAGAGAACGTTCTATATTGGCTATGCTGCATTCTGATTGGTTGAGAAATTCAATTAGAGCACGGTCATGTTTGAATATTTTATGAAGAACCCACAGAGCTATTTAAACAACAAAGCTCGAAGCTTCATTGGTGGCAGCGGTGGGATTGGTCTTTGTCTTGTAAAGAGATTCTTTTCGCAGTTTTAGTGTCTTTATTTTCATTAAAGGGTGGAGATTAGTTCTCTTCACATCTTTAAATTTGATTAACTTTTACTGAAGAGTGGAGATTAGTTCTCTTCGCATCTTCAATTTAGCTTTACTCTTACAAAAGAGCGGAGATTAGTTCTCTTCGTTTCTCTCTTTTAAGTTAGGTTCATTCTGTACTGAAGAGTGAAGATTAGTTCTCTTCAACTCTTTCTTAAGGATTTTGTCTTCATATTCAGTTTACTTTGAATGAAGAGTATTTGTCTTCACTGTACTATTAAGTATTAACTTTGTCTTTATGCACAATGTTTGTTTATGCATGCATTTAAGTTGACGATCTTCACTTAAAAGACTGATAATGATCTTGCGTTTGTGTACGCTCAGTTAATTTATGCGTAACTTAACCTTGATCTTGTGAACAAAGAGAAGACAAAGAGTTTGATGTTTACACGTGCTATTGTTAAGGGAATCATCATTTAGTAATGAAGACGGGCTCCCGTTGTAGTTACTTTTAAAATTGAAATACGAAAACGCTTGCATTTCAGCGTTGTACTAATTTCTGTATTTGCTATCAACAAGAAGCTCATGTAACAGGCTCCTGTTTTAGTTACTTCAAAAACACTTTCTTTTACTTTCTTTCTATCCTTTATTTATGCATGCTAAGACGCATTGCTTTAAAATTGGCAAAATCGAGCGCGTATCTATTTGTTTGGCTGTGGCTATAGTGTTAGGATTGTCCCGAATTGGTGTAAGACGAAATTATGAATTGAGAAGTATTTTATTTGAATGTTCGAGATCTAGTTTTTGGTCTTTGTATTTTGTAAAAATCCCTGTATTGATGATAAAAGCGTACTTGATTCTGTTTGTGTTTTGATATTACGTATAGATTATAGCTCATTCATTAAATAGAAGTTGATACCTTGTGAATATGGAGGGGAAGGATCAATGTGAAAATGGGTGTTCTGTCGTGTTAGGTGCCGTCGGGGAAAATGAAGATGAGAAAGACGAAAATAATGAAAACTTTGATTTGATTTGGTCAGATAAAAATGTAAGTCTCCATGACGAGAAAGACACAGATGGCAAAATCACGGTTTCACCTGAAAATCAAAATGAAGAAAAAAAATCGTCGGATGGTTTATTAAGGCGTAGTCTTGCTTCAATATTGAAATGCAAGAAATAGAAGAGCGCCTACAAGATATGGATGGGATTAATTGATTGTTTAATCAAAGAATGTATATAGTGTGTATAAGCAGAGACCTATAAAACATTTTATATGTCTCTGGTATAAGTAAATATAAAGGGAACATATTTAGTTAGCTAGTTGGTTAGTTAGGTAGTTAGGTAGATAGTCGGTTAGTAGTAAGTTAGTTAAATGTGTGCTGCATGGGCATTGTTTACAGTACATAATACAGAGTTAAGTAAAAGTCATCAATGCATACCTTAAAAGATCTTTTATTTCAAACTCTCAATGGAATTGCATATAGGCATATTTTAATGGCTAGTGGATGAAAACATGACTTGCAAAAGAAATTGTTAAGGGGAGGTAAAGCCTTTCAAGTATGAAAACAGGACCATTTTGTAGTATTGATGAACATTTTTTTTATTAATTATGCATAGAAAGAGTCAAACATCCGTATTTGGCAAGAATGATGTTTGTTTTGTGTCGCTGAATGGATAAATGAGATTTGTCATTTTTGTAATATGTGGTGACCCGGGCAATAAAGAGTAAACAATTAGAATTAAAAAATTAGAAGTAAACAAATAACAAATTAAAAAAGACTGAAGAGTAACTTTTAAAATGAGATTTCTGAAGATGTTTTACAGTAATTAAACGTGTGCTTGTCGAAAATACACATAGGGATCGTTTTATCTGGTTTTATTAAGAGATATGAAATTCCATGAAAATGGAGGGGGTAGTTTGTAATGCGAAATTATGATGGAATTTCATATTCCATTCGTGTAGTAAGGCCTGGCAGTTATATGGTACTTAAATGATGAAAAGTGAAGTCGGTTTCTTGTCATGCGTTCTTGGATATTGCATCTAAGTTGATAAGTTAGCTAGACGAAGAGAATTCATTGTTGTTAAGTTATGAGATTTGAACTAGGCTTCTTGTCATGTGTTCTTGGATATTGCATCTAAGTTGATAAGTTAGCTAGAAGAAGAGTTCAATGTTGTTTTAGATGAGGTTGTGTGGTTGTTACTTATTCTTGGATATTGCATCTAAGTTGAATCATAGGTAACAAATGATCCATATGTAAAGCAGTGGGGTAGAATGACTGATATTTATCCTTGGATATCGCATCTAAGTTGAATCATAGGTATCAGTTAGCCCACGTGCACTAACACTCAGTAACATTAGTTGGACTCATACGGTATTAGACAGAATTGGTGCAGTTTTGTTTTTGAACTCGGACTTCTAGAATCTAAATTTAAAATGATTTTGCTATTAACTTAAAGAGGAATCAAATGGCTAATAATTTTAAATATTACTTACAGTGAGCAAGTTGTATCTTTTAAGGATGCGAAAAGCATAAAAGTATATCGCATGTTTTTCTGTTTGTGTATTGTGGAAATTGCATCATAAGATTATGATGATTTTAGTCTATCAAGAAACATATTCCTGCTGGACGGGATTATATTATCTTTGGGATATCTTGTCTTTAAGTTTCTGATTTTGCATTTTATTGTTTTATTCCACACTATTGTTATATGAGATTTTGCCATGTACATGCTCGAAATAAATGGTTATTTCCCGAGCGGCAACTGGATAATGTTATGATGACGATCATAAATTGTCAAATTTAGGGTTCAATAGAGAATTGAATTGAAGCCCAGGCAAGTGGTTTTCTCAGTTTTGTAAGAAAGTACAAACTGTGGATCCTACAACGAGATTTTGTTATGACAGCCATCAATCATCAGGTTTAGTGAAATGAATACATGAGAGATTAGTCATTTATATTTGAATATAGCAATTTGTTTGTATTTGTGCAATACATAGCGCTAAGTATGAAAATATAGAATTCTTTGGAAAATCCAAAGTAAAATGCTATTGTGCACTGAGGTGTTACTGATTTACTTTCGGAAACAAAGTCCTAGCAAGAGGGGGCGACCTGATGAAAAGGTTTTAGTAATCTTGGCAGAGTCTGAAACCCATGTTGCATTATTGATGTTAATGTTAAATCGTTAGATATGTATAATTGTGTTATTACTTTTTGGAATTTGTCCTGCCTATTATGGAAAACATGTTAAGCCATATTTATATTCTTTCTTACTGTTCGTAAGCAATTTGCTTCTTTTATTTTAAAAGATCTAGACTAACCACTCAGTGCATTTTAAAGATAAAGACAAGTTTCACAAGTAACAATCAGAGATCATTTTGAAGAATAGAGAGAAAATGTAAATAATTTCATGAAGAGTTGAAGTTGAAGAGTTGCTAGAAGAGTTGAAGAGTTGAAAAACGCTCAGTCATGAAAGACAAGTCAAGTGAAAAGTTTGTATGTTGAAGAGATAGAAAGACTAGTTACTTGTCAATGAAGAGAAATTGATGTCTTGAAGAAAATTAAATTCATGAAGAATTTAGAACACGAAGAAGACTTGTTTATGTCACATAGAAAAGCAAGTTAAAGACATGTTAATAAAAAATGTTTCTTAAAGACACTTTTGGAGAACTTTTTGAGAATTAAAAAATTAATTGCCCGGGATCCCAGTAAGCGATTTCCTATGACGACCTGAAGTAGATGACGACCACTTAACCGTGAAGAAGCGATGAAGATGACCTGTGAAGGCGATGCCTATGTCTTATGGAGATGCAGACGACGCGGATTTCGGATGGAGTGGAGCCACAGAGGATTTCGACAACTGATGAAGGAGCTGAAGATGTACGATCTCCTGTTATTATGAACAATTCTTTTCTCCAACGAAAACGTTTATTATGAACACTGCTACAAGGAAATGGATATTTTATTATGGATTCTTCAGCGAGGATACGGACATATTCGATAATGGACACGATGCGGACGTGCATGTGATATACGGATTATGGATATTATTTCGACTACTAAGACGGTGCATATTTTGGATTCGAAAATATTACATCGTGGACTAGATGCACGTATTACAGCATCGCATTGGATCCAGGACTAGATACGCGGATTATAAAATCGGAACTTATTATGGTTTATTATAACGACGTTTATCAACAGGAACTACGTATGAAGCAAGGATATTTGCACGAACTCTGCGTGGATATTTCATATGGATATTGGATATGGATATGGATTATACACGAACTATGTATGCGGCACTGTGTTAGTAAACATTCATATAGGACATTGTTAAAATATCATATACATTTATTTAGATTTTGCGTATTTTCAGTTTTTTTAGTACGTACAATGTCAGGAGAATTGTCATTTTATTTGGGTGGGGGTTGTATAGCATTTTTCATGTTGATTTACCGTATTGTGCTGCCATCTTTCAATGGGTTTCTTATAGGTTTTGTAGGGTAAGGGATTGCCTTTCATTTCCTATAACTTGGGGGTATTTAAGAGAAATTTTGGGCTTCATTCAGTAGAGAGTTAGATCGGGGGGAACATCACACATCATTTATTTTCATCTTATTAATCTCATTTTCATTCTTTCTTTATCTTTGAACAGTTTTATTTTACACTGAAGAGTGTAATTGTACATGTTTAGTCTTTTACTTGGAATAAAGTATAGTTTTATGAGTATATTAATTCTGTGTTAATCTTGTCTTTTTTACATTACAAGACCAATCCATATTATTTTATGAAGAACCCACAGAGCTATTTAAACAACAAAGCTCGAAGCTTCAATATCATATAAACTTTCAATACCATTTTTTTAGAAGTTTTAGACCCCTTGTTCAATAATCTTTTCATGCAATAAAAATTAGGAAAAGAAGATCTTCTTTTGAGTAAATAGGTTCAACATTTTGATAAAATTGTTGACATGGGGTCCCTATTCATAACTTTTTGAATTGTGCGACTGATATTTTCATCATCATGGGTATTTCACTTGAAAGAAAACATATTGTCTTAATAAAACCCACTGTATTTATGCCCAGAAAGTACTCATGGTCAAAGATATGACTGTCTAAAATCACTTGCCATACTGCACATGGACCTTTCGGTATGAGCGTGGGTACATTTTCCAAGGGGCTAGGGCAAAAAAATGGTATGTGAACTCTTTAGGCCATATGTAACTAGAATCCAGAGTAGCAACACTGCATTCAAAATTTTGTGTTTCGTTGCAATTTTGGACCACTCTTATTTATAAGAAATCCTATAAATATGATTTTAAGGAATATCATTTTTATCTACGACGTAATATTGATACCACAGATATCCATATCACCGAGTAGATTTAAATGATATCCTGAAAAAATCATAGGGTGTTCTTATAATCCTACAGTTATTGCACTAAATGTATGAAAATCTATAAAATCAACAAGCGGAGTATATCGTCAAAATATCCTCCGCATATTGGTTATTCGGAGTAATCGTGGCGATATCCTCCGGTTATTTATTTTGCAAATGGATATCATTTTTTGTTAGTGTAGGATTATCTCTGTATATCCCTCTGTTGCAGTCCTGTTTACAGTGGCAGGATACAATTCTAGCTGTTAACTTCTGTAGAGGTCAATAATGATATATACATACCCTTTTTGACCGCTCGTATGTCAGGAAAAGAACATTTGGATTTTCTTTTTCCTTTTTCCACCAATCTCCAACATGAGAAAACCAAGACCCTCGCCCAACTAAAATCACAAAGAATACACAATTATACACTCAATGACGTCTATTCCCCATTCGATGGAAAACATAAAAAACATAAATCACTCTCATTTTTCCAGAACTGATAGATTTTGTATATACACATACAATGCTAAAATATCATAGCTAGAACTAAATAATTTTGAGATAAGGTTGGCATGGTAACCTACATAAAGGGTCGACAGGTCAGTTAAATAACTAACATATATAATGGATTTTCAATGATTCTTCTGTACCCATTTCGAGCAGATCAAACTCATCTTCACATGAATTGAATCTCATGAGCAATATACACAGGTCTGTTACCAGGGAGCTGGGAGGGGGGCTCAACACCCCAACCGAAAAATCTTTCAAAATCATTCAGTTTTCACCCCCAAGGAATTTTGTAAAATGAACCTCCTTGGGCAAAAGCTAGCCGCGGGAATAATACATGCAATTATAAATCTGACATTGATGCACAGTTAGATTAATTGTCATTTGCCCATACTTCGATTTAATACTCCGAGCAGGCCATTTTACACTAATGCACCATGGGTATACTAGCTATTGTTGAAAGGTAAATCGCACTTTTTATCGACTCTTCATTTTGCATTTATTTCATTACTTACGTTTTGTGACAGAGGGGTTCAAGAAAATATCCAAATAAATCTAGCGGGAAAAAATAAATTGCATCCTACCACTTATCTTATTAATCATGCTAATGCAAACTAAATTACACATTCTTAACAGCATGCATACTGTGATGGTATGGATAAACTGTTTTCTCGTGGTTGTATTATGTACAGGGTGGTCCAAAAAGTGAACCACTGCAGCAGGCTGTATTTTCCTTTGTATATGCATGAATTGGCTCATATTATCACATCTTGTAGAGAAAGGTCTAAAGTTTTCGTCGATGCCATAATTTATTCTCAGTCTTTGATTTTAAAGAAATTACAAGACTTAAACAAGCATGCCTAAAATTAGATATTGTGCAAACTTTTACTAATGTGATTGACGGAAATTATTGAAACACATTGGGTGATCTTAAAAAATCTTTTAGTGAAGTCAAAACCCTACCATATGACACTGACACATATGTCCAAATGGGACACTATTTGAGCAGGAAACACATTTCACATTTCCAATGACCATTTTGAAACAGTTTTAACCATTCAACAGTTAGGGGCATGTTACATACACACACGGTTAGAGGGGGGGGGGGCGAAGTTGCCCTATGTGACCCAAAATCTAAGAAACCCTTCATATAAATATCTTACAAAAATCAATAGGAAATCTAATACTTTGTATTTTGAGTCGGTACGTATTTCATTAGAACTGGCTCATGATTAATGAAGATATTGACATTTTAAGACCATATGTTGATCTTAACCATATGTATGTTGCGATTTCACTGGAAGGTGTTTTCGTCTTTGGAAACTGAGAAAACTTCTTTGGATCACAATAACTTTGCAAGTAACAAAGGTAGGAGGGATTCAAAACTTAACAAAGTCAGATAACATAAGGTTTTCAGACTCAAGCTAAAAAGTTCCACAGTTCCAAGATTGTTGAAGGGGTGGAGAACAGCAGATGTTGAAGTTCACATTTTATCCATTTTCAGAGATGTTTGATTTTGGGCTTATAGTTTCTGCAAATTTCAAGACTAAGAAAAATGCATGGTACCACCAAAAATCTTAGACCTTCCTCTAGAACATGTGATATGAACGGATTCCTACGGGTAATAAGGGAAATATAGCCTGCTGCAACAGAGCAACAATACCGAACATTTTTCTAAAAAATATATATGATGATGATGCTTTGGAATGGTTTAAAAAAGCCATCCATTTAATTTGACTGACCTGCTGTTCCTTAATACAGGTTACAATGGCAGCCTTATCTCAAAATTATTCAACAAATAGCTATAATATTTTAGCACTGTATGTGTATATAAATAATCTGTTATATTCTGAAAAGAATGAGAGGTAAATATGAAAACTTCACAAAATGAAAGCATTTTTATCAGAATATATGGATCGCCCATTGTATATATAACCATGGCATATACATAGTCTCCCTACCTTTCCCCTCAAGAAACAGTGAGATGAATCCATTGAAAGTTCCAGTATATCCATACATGAAGTCTATATCTAAAACGCAGTTATAGTTTGACACAGCAACATCTTTTGGATTCCTCATTATATAAATGATCTTTGATTTCTTCATCCATACATCAGGAGGTATTCTAGAGTGAATGAGGTGTGCATTGATTGTGCGTGGTGATGGTTTGGCATCAAACAGTTCAAGGTCCCACGTTTCAAAACTGTTGTTGGTCTTCAACATTGCTGATGTAGCCTTAGGAGACGACTGTAATATCATAGTGACAATCTCCTGGTGCCAGTTATTTCCTAATATAAACGTACATGTATATGAGGAATTGTAGATTGATATGCAACATTCATGTATACTGTAGCTATACAGAATAAACAGGATTTATGCAACTGTTGATCAAAATATTCATACTCGGCAGAATCTGAGAAACCGTTGATCCAAATATTCACAAGAATGTGTGAAACTGTTTGTTCAAATACTCACCAGAACGTGTGAAACTTTTGATCCAAATATTCACCACAATGTATAAAACTGTTGATTCAAATAATCACCAGAAAATGTAAAACTACAGGTATTGATTAAAATACCAGAACGTGTGAAACTGTTGATCGAAATATTCGCCAGAAAATGTGAAACTGTTGATCCAAATACTTAACAGAACTTGTAAAACTAAATATCAAAATATTCAACAGAATGTGCGAAGCTGTTGATCCAAATATTCCCCATTATGTTTGAATTATTGATCCAAATACTCACCATTCCAAAATGTATAACACTGCTGATTCAAATACTCACTGCACCGTGTTAAACTCACCGGAACGTGTGAAACTGTTAATCCAAATGTCATCCTCCCTTGCTTTAAATGTCTTCATTCTCTCTAGCCTGGCTTTAATGTTAGAGAAGCCTGGATAGTATTCCCCATTACCCAAATCATGTAACCTTATTGTATTACCTAAATAAACATGTCATATCTCATAAAAATAGGCTGTAACCCATGCTGACCAGACACCTCTATGCTTATTGCTGTTAAGTATATATTTTGATTTCTACTTTTATGGTAAATGTTTACCCCCTTTGAAGTAAAGATGGTGACATCTGAGTGACACTTACTTTTATCTTTAATTCATAGTTTCTAGCCCATAAGTATTTTTCAAGACTTTTTACCCATAATTCAAAACATTAAACAACACCGTAAGCACACCAATGGAAGGCATTTACTGCCATCTTTAATAATTTGTTTTACCAAAACAAGATTGGTCTTCAAACAACAGAGAAATCGAACCATGAATTTTACTAAACATATTTGACAGCGATTCAAAGATTAATGCTGTTAGATTTGTTCTAGCCATGGTGATTTAAAATGGCAAGCCATATTATCAAGTATATTGAACAATTTGGAAACTAATTATTATTCATAATATAACATTATTATGCTTTAAACATATGCGAAAGTGTTTTTTACATTTACTATAATAAACACTTTTAAAAAAGTTTACCTTGTGTTCAGCAGTACATACCCTCACAATCTGGAACCAGCTGTGTATCTTCTCTCTCACTCTCTCTCAACCATCTAGCATAATTTTGATCCTCATTTGCCATATCTATTGATTGCCTCTAAACAAGCCAAATGGTGTTTACACGCCCGGTGATCGGAATAAATGAACCGAGAAAGAGTCGAAGGCATGCGAGGCGAATCCTGGAAACCCGGGTTTGGGAAAGCAGGGTTCACTGTTTGCTTCCGTTGACAAAGTGTGCGAAACTACATTCATAATTCATACGACAATGAACAGGAGTATTACAGTCAGACCCGGGTGCGCCAATCCCTTATTTAAATGTTTGTTTCGCGGACCAGGGTTTAAGGCCATTCCAAACGAAATAAGTATTAAATGAGGCCACGAAATATAAAAGTTCGTTTTATTAGAATTTTATACGTGTTATTTTGTAACTACCAAGACGTTAAACATATTGGAAATAGTTACGAATTATGACTGGTCTAAAATGTGCAAAGCTAGAAGACCCCTTATACTCGTTCGTTCCCTATTTTGACTAAGATAATATATCAGTACAACGGCTACTAAAACAAGGAAAAATTGGCCAGTAGAGATGGGAAACTTGAAACAAATTTATTTTTATTCATATATATGCATAATATTTGATTTAAATACAATTCCACGCTATTACCATAACCATCCTCCAGTGGTGCAATTTCTATTGTGTCTGTCTGGGATAAAATCTTACATAATACAATTGATAACGAGGAACCCTTTTGATAAAAGCAATTAAATCCAGGTTTGAAAACTCGCGAAAATAACACGAACGAGTCTAATTATGAACCGTTCACATTTTTGCAAAGGCGGATTTGGATGACGGCAAACCCGGGTTTCTGATAACATGGGGTCTGCCATTTTTGTTAAATTTCATGAAATTCATCAATTTTGACATCAAATTTTGACCCAATGTAATGGAGATATAAAATTGAAACGTTGCGGACTTTATAGGGAATAGAATCAAGATACAGATTTATTTACTTTATTGGCATTTCTTTTGTTCCCCGCTTAGAAAATAGTCATTCAAACAAATATGGGGGTTAACATGTAGTAGAGTATATTTTAACGTTTTAACTAACAACCGAGGAAAGATTGCGGCAAAAGTCATGAATCAATGTAAAACCCTTACATAATGTCACTCAACTATACCTTGCATTTGGTGTTCATGAGCAACCCATTTGGCATATTAGCAACGATTATATTATTTGTTTTTATATGTCCTTTCCTTATGAATGGTTTATCAAATGACATTAGATGTTAATAAGGTACTTTCAAAAATATATTAAACAATACAATTAGACAAATAGAGTATCTTATGCATTTCTAGCTGTTAGGTATAGTAGAGTGAATGTTTGAGAATTACCGTCGGAGTTCTGTGACATTAAATTGACTTACTCGTATTACGTTGAGCGGCTCCTAGATCAGACAAGTAGTAGTTTTGTTGGTTCAACCTCCGACTTTCCTCTTTCCGCGGCACAACACGAACACGTGCCTCTATGACCCCGTGAACATATGAGTATAACATTTTTTTTATAAACAAACATTCATTTTAAGGTCGGTCAACTCTCTTGCTATTGACGTGACACAGTACAGAAGTTTCAATAGGTGCGCATTTTTTTCTTAGAAATTATTTTAAAGCGTGTAGAATATCACTGGTAGTCATAATAATTATTCTCATATAGCCTATATTCATATATGTGCATTCCATTCCAACATTAATACAATACTGACATCCTGTTCACAATTTAATTCATTAGAGGCTCAAATAACTGCGGATCATCTGATAGCGCTATTGGTAGAGCGTTGCCTTGGCCTGAGGACCTTCTGTTATGCATGGGTTCGAAACGTGGTGAAGCATCTTAATTTTTAATTAGATCCAATCATCAACACTTTTGGAAATGTGAAGACATTTTCTTTATGGTCAAATCTCTTCCCTCTCTTATAACAAAAGTTATTATGTCGATTTGCTCTGTGTAATTTATTGTTTACAATAAATAGAAAGATTCACTCCCCTTCCCCGCTTATTATCTTTTTGTTGACTAAAAATAATTCACGCATAGCTAGTCAAATCAGTACACTCATACTAGATAGTATTGAACCTTATGAACGTTGCATTTTTAACTAAGAGAGCTTGGTTATAGCTACATGAAGTCTAAACAAGACCAGGTCCAATAAATGGCTTGTGTATAATTTGTTTAAAAACATTAATAATTGTCAACGAATTATGTTTTTAACTAGATAATGGCAAAGCAAATACCATCGAGCACTACATTAACTGTCACAAGTAACGAGTCTTCAATTCTCAAATGGCCACACTATGGGGTACACTGCCCAAAACTAGTTTATTTCAAACGTAGAATCAAACCCTATTCAAAAGGCTGGTGCGAAAAAGTCGGACCACTCTGGTGGAGAAATATGAATAATGGGCAATAGAGACAGAATGACCTTGATACTTTTGGTAGAACAATCATCGTTCATCATTGCAAGCTACTCAAACCAGAGACAGATCTCACTGTATCAAAAGTGATTCAAATACTATTTTCTAAACATTTTATTCTTATAAATAACATTTTATGTAATAAAATTGTAACTGAAGTGATAAATCCGGATACCATGCAATATAATGCAATACAATACAATGCAGTACAATATAATACAATGCAATACTATGCAAAGAAAAACAATACAATATATTACAATAAAATAAAATACAATAAAATGCAGTACAATACATAAGGCAATTGTCGACAAAAATATTTCAAACATCGTCGACAAAAATGTGGAGCCCATATCACTTTTGGTGGAGACATAAAATGAACCTGTGTAATCGCTGCATATTTTCTTTATTTTTAAGTTTTAGTTCGAATCAATTTGTATCCGATGTCTATCATTTCGCCAAGTCTTATTAACCTTACTGCATCTCACACCAAATGATTGGATCTGTAAATATAGGATTCTCGTTTCTCATCGAGTACCTGTCTCTGAACGCTAAGTGTCTCACCCTCGTGATTTTGAAGAGTGTGCCCAACTACTTCTTTGGCGGTACCTTCTCTCCTATTACAATATTAGCATTTGAATATGGGCTGACTTCCAAGACTCTCTAAATAGTTGAACTATGTATTCATGATTGTTGCCCAATATACGCCAATGTTAATATGGTTGGTCAATGTAACAACAGCTCCAAATAACACATTCGTCAACGTAACATTGATCTTACGTCAACGTTACAAAAACGAGGGACTAAATATGTGAATTGTGTCTTCGTTAATATACCAAACATAGCACTGCACCAAAAAAAAATTTTTATTTAAAAAATTTCGGGAGTGGGATGGATATATTGTATCTGCCCGCATTTGTCCTGGGGCGGGACATATACAATAGATCCTGCCCGCTCCCCAGATATGATATATAAGGGTTATGTACTGGGAGGTTTTGGAAACAGGGTTTATCCCAATGGAAATATATGTATCTCCCGAGGGACCGCAGGGACCGAGGGAGATACACATATTTCCCGCGGGATAAACCCTGTATCCAAAACCGACCGTACATAACAGATATATTTCATGCCTACTGAGGTTCTAGGTACACCATACCTTATAAAGATCCAAAATTCCAAAACATACTAAGGTACTAGACGTTTTTTTTGGTCTTAAAGTTTGCGAGATTTTCAAAAAATTTGAAAGAACTTTGAGAAGAAATTTTGTAAAAAAAATTGAAAAAAATGTGAAAAAGATTTTTGACAAAATTAAAAAAAAATTGTGAAAAATTTTTTTGAAAAATTTAAAATTTAAAGGAGCGGGACCGGGATGGATACAGCGTGTATTCAGCGTATATACAGCGTGTATCCATCCCGGTCCCTAGATACAGTATATATTCCCGCTCGTTATGTACCTAGAACCTCAGTAGGTATGAAATACATAATAATATTCCCGGGTGATATCTACCTCAAACCAACTCAAGTATGAGGTACATGTAAGTTTATCGCATCGGAAGGCTTTAATTGCTATTTTTCAGGAGATAATGTGTTAGCAAAAAAAAAGAAAATAGAAAGTACTCAAACAATTTCTTTCATTTGATCATTAAGTGTCAAATTGTGCTTCAAGTGGCAGCATGGTAACGTTATATTTTATACATTGACTAAAACCTCAGTAGGTAACACCGGGTGATTTTGAATAATCTGCAAAATTGGCTTCATGAGAAATAAAGCAGCAGGGAATTGCGGATTTTTGTAATTTATAATTGTTTGAGTTCACGCTTACAAATTTAGAATATAAATAGTTTTTATAGTTTTTGTGGGGTGTAGTTCATGTATGTAATGCGGCCACAAGCCTTTAATGCTTTTTTTGTAAACAGTTGTGTTGTTCATTTAAGGTACAGCTGGAAAGTAACATTTTGGTAAAAATTGCTATACCTGCACATGTTATTTTCTGGTACAAAATAAAGTTTGAAGCCATGTGTCAATTTCCTTGCTTTTTTCAGGAAAGTATCATTACATTGTCTTCTTTTAAAATATCTGGTAGGCGTTCAATGGGAACTCCAGGAAATTCTGATATTTCACACTTTCTATTTTTCCAAATTTTCTTTCAAAGTTTTCAGACAACACAGGAGCTACCATTGACCTGTTTCCAGATATTCTAAAAGAAGATAGTGTAATGATACTTTCCTGAAAAAAGCAAGGAAATACACATATGCCTTCATACTTAATTTTGTACCAGAAAATAACATGTGCAGGTATAGCAATTTTTTACCAAAATGTTACTTTCCAGTTGAACCTTAAACGTAACGAATTGTATAGATACATTGAATGTCTACTCTCTTGATGAAACATATGAACTGTTATTAGGTCCCAGGTCGGATTAGATTCGTCAGTTTCAAAATATTGATTTAAACAGCAGGCAGCTAAAACGTATGTAGGACTCGGTCAGTTGCACTCAGTCGGGACATATTGAACACTATTAAGATGTCGAAAAACTCATCCGAAATCAAAGCATGGATTGTTTTGGCAGCATGTTCTATATTAGTGATTTTACGTATCCAAATGGAATTAAGTTTTGGAGTAATCACTGTTGAAATTGAGAGTGAAGGCAGGAACCAAACTACTCTGGCAAAACAAAGTAAGTAATAATAAAACTTTTGTATGTGAACACCTCTCTCATCTGAACATCTCGCAATATGATGATCAAGACATGGTTCGTGCTTTTAGACACTTATATATTTGACCATTGGTATTAGTATCCCTATCGAAATCATGGATTTAGGCCCCGCCTACAGAGTTAAAACCAAAAGCAGTTAATCCGCGACCTTTAAAACTTTGATAGAATATATGTCTCACGTAACAACTTATAAACTAATAAGTGCTTCATTTTTGAAAAAAACCAACCATTTCACTGATGCCCAGTAGATCCTACACACCTTTTTGGGACGGCCAATCCTTACAATTTAGTTAGGATTATCACACCCGGTGATCGTGAAAATGGGACGGAGGGGGGGAGCAGGCAATTTCTGCAAGAAAATTCAACAAATCTGAGAGATTTATTTTTTCAAGAAAAAGTTTACTATTGAATTGCTGAATTGATAGGCGCACGGTATGGTAAAATATGTTAGGTCTTCTGGGATTTTTTCTGAAACGATAGGCATCTAAGATATGAGATCTATTAAAAAAGGCGCGAGACAACCAACAGACACAAATCAACGTTTTAGCTACAAATCAAGCAACAATGGTCTACACGACCTGTATTAAATACTTGTAAGTGACGATATCATAACTAAATTAATGCCATTGCTGAATTTATAAAATAAGTTTCAATACGTAAAATAAAAAATAATCGAAAATAATTATGGGACGGAGGGGGGGAGCAATATGTATCATTGTCACTCCATAGATCACATAATTTTCACAGTACATGGTTTCAGTATATAGGTAAGGAAACCAGTGACCGTAACTGCTGTAGTAGTAATGTTATGAATGAATTATGGTTTGGGTTAAGTTTAGATTACATTTGTTGATCTTTAATTTTACATTCCATAAAGTAAAAATAATCCAACGTCATATTCATTTTCTAACTTTTCTTTAATTCTGAAACTGAATACTGCAAAATTACAGAATGAATCAAATGGTTACATTCAACATGCCCTAAGATTATATGAGCAACTTAAGTGATTCACTTATTTTTGATTTACGTATGACATATTAAATATTTAAAATGAGAGTTATGAAAAAAACAATTAAAAGCATTACTTATGCAAAATAACAGAATCAATCTAAGCTATAATATGACACTTCAATTTTTTTCAAAATCTTCTACATCTTTTCAGAAGTTCAAATCTGACTTTTTATTTAAGATTTGACCTTCAGAGACCTTTTCAAGGTTTAAAAAGGTCTTTTTCAACTTGTTTCCAATTGACCTTTTTTCAAAATCATCTACAAGTTATCAGAAGTTCAAATCTGACATTAGAATTTAGATTTGACCTTCCATGACCTTCTAAAGGTCACAAAAGGTCATTTTTCAACTTGCTTCAAATTGACCTTTTTCAAAACCATCTACAAGTTCTCAACGGTTCAAATCTGACTTAAGATTTGACCTTCAATGACATGTTCAAGGTCAGAAAGGTATTTTTTCACCTTGCTTCAAATTGACCAGTTTATTTTTTCGTTATGGTCTCTGTTCTTTTTGACACCGGTTGGTGGTTGGCTGTTGGTGGTTGGCGATTGGCGTCTGTAACAAATTCTTACAACTTCCAATAACTTAACAAATACTGTTTAGACTGACTTCAACTTCTCAAAATCATCCACATGTTTTCAGAACTTCAAATCTTACTTTATATTTAAGATTTGACCTTCGATAACCTTCTCAAGGTCGAAAAGGTATTTTTTCAACTAGCTTCAAATTTACCAATTTTTTCAAAATCATCTACAAGTTATCAGAAGTTCAAATCTGACTTTAGATATGACCTTCAATGACCTCAAGGTCACAAAAAGGTCTTTTTTCAACTTGCTTCAAATTGACCAGTTTTTTTTCAAAATCATCTAGAAGTTCTCAACATTTCAAATCTGACTAAAGATTTGACCTTCAATGACATTCCCAAGGTCAGAAAAGAGTTGACCTTCAATGCAATTTTAAGGTCAAAAAGGTCTTTTTTATCTTGCTTCAAATTGACCAATTTTTTCAAAATTAGCTACATGTTCTCAGAAGTTCAAATCTGACTTTAGAGTTGAGATTTCACCATCAATGACCTTCTCAGGGTTAAACACAAATGTATACAATATGTCGCCACCAATGGGTGATTCCGCAAATGTATATCCTGAAAATGAGTAGACACGACAATTACAAAAAAAAATGCAAAATGGCCACCTTAAAATTTACCCAGAATGCCAAAAATTAGTCAGCTCTAGATTTTCATACTAAGAACTAGCCTAACCCTAAAAATTTGAAATTGATCCGTCGAACAGTAAACCAGAAAACGCATAAGCAAGACTCTACAAGATTTTAGGAAGGAAAAATCCAAAATGGCTGCCTTGACATTTGCCCAGAATGCCAAAAAACTAATCAGTTCTAGATTTTCATACTAAGAATCATCCCTGAAAATATAAAATTGATCTCTCAAACGGTTCACCTGAAAACCTGTAGACAAGACTTTACAGACAAGATTTTAGGACGGAAAATCCAAAATGGCTGCTTTGACATTTATCCAGAATGCTAAAAAACTTATCATATCTAGATTTTCATACTAAGAATCAACCATGAAAATTTAAAATTGCTCTACCAAAGGGTTCACCTGAAAACGTGTAGACAAGTCTTTACAGACAAGATCTTAGGATGGAAAAATCCAAAATGGCCGACAATAAAAAAGTGATCATTAGTTTTTGCTGATTTCTTAATCACCATGTTAATCAGTGTTTTTTAAGTAGCGCAAGGATCCTGCCATGACCATGGTAGTGTTATCGTGTAAGCCTGGTATAACCGTGACAGGCTGGTATAACCGTGACAATGCTGTATTCTATTGCAAGGCCTGTCATGACCCTGGAAGTGTTATCGTGGAAGCCTGGCGCGACCGTAGCCTTTATTGTGGTTTATAAGCGAATGTGAATATTAATGTATAGTAGAAATTTTGATTTTGACATAATTAAGGTAGTTAAACACCATGATCATCGTATTAAACTGTTTAATTGTAATGAGGATCACTTAAAATTGTTAAGGATATTCCTGGCATTAATGTCATACATATTTACTAGTCATTGCAATACATTATAACGGTCATAGTAGAACTAAGCCTAAATCTCTACATTACCACCCTCATACCTAGCCTTGCAATACTATATTACATTGTCACGGTCATGCCAGGCTTTGCGATCCCATAATACATTGCCATGGTCATGCCAGGTTTTCAAATACACATTGTCACGGTCAATTATAGCAATCATGAATTTCTACATTACCACTCTCATACCCGAACTTGGAATACTATATCACATTGCCATGGCGGTCATACCAAGCCTTGCAATACTATATTACATTGCCATGGTCATGCCAGGCTTTGCAATACACACTGTCACGGTTATAGCAGTCCTAATCGTAAATTTCTACATTACCACTCTCATATCTGAACTTGCAATACTATATTACATTGTTACGGTCATACCAAGCCTTGCAGAACTACATGTATATATACATTGTCACGGTCATGGCAGGCATTGCAATATAATACAGCATTGTCGCGGTTATACCAGGCTTTCACGATAACATTACCACGGTCATGGCAGGATCATTGCGCTACTTAAAAAACACTGAATAACATGGTGACGGTTACGCCAGGCGTTAGTCTTGCAACAGATAGGGTCTCCCATAAGTTATCCCTGAAAATTTGAAGGTGATATCTGTAGAGGGTTTGGAGAAAACTGCCGACGTATGGACGGACAGACGGATGGACAGACAGACAGACGGACGGGCCTAGGCCGACAATATGGCCCCACACTATGTTGTGGGGACATAAAAAGGTATTTTTTCAACTTGCTTCAAATTGACCATTTTATTTTTTCAGAAATTCTTGTCATGTTAATATTATGCCTTGTTTCTACTTTTTCCTTTTTGAGGAGTATTTTTCCACAATCGTATTTTTCTTTCTTATTGTCACAGTGACTGTAAGTAACTGGTCTGGTTCCATGACTAGATTACTCCGTCCACCTGTTCCAAAATTGTATCCCACTTTTCCATTTGAGAAGATATTAAACAACCACACGAGACATGAAATCAGGCAGATGGGCACCATGAATCCGTACAGTAGAAGAATATTCCAAGTGTAGTTCTATAAAACTAGCCACTGTTTTCATGTCTGATTCAGGTGGGAGCCAATGTTCAGGATTTCTGACTCTACCATTTTTCAAGGTCTAGGTTGCTTCTCTGATTTCCTCATTAATTGCATTTTTCAAGCATATCTTGGGTGTGAAAGATTTGATTTGATTTCTTCACAGTATTTATAAAGTTCAGAAACTTTTCAATTTTTTCAAAATTGTTTTTTTTTAAAAGTTGCCTGTTCACTGATAACTTGAAAATTTTGTAATGCAATATTAACTTGATATTGCACATTTAATTAGTTGCTATATTTTAATACATTTTCTGTGTATATAATATATATAGCCCCCAGCCCTAAGACAGCTACCAAATACTCTAAAACAACATGTAATTATTAGCTATTTAACACTGAAAAGTACCAAAGAGTAAGCATCACAACTTCAGTTGATTTGTAAATTCATACAAAATGAATTTAGGTTTACATGTTGAGTTTAAATTCAGTGTCAATTCTACTGTACATATATCATGTATTTTTAGTAGGTTTGCATGCATGCTTGTCAGTTGACTGACTTTCTTTTGTGATGATTTACTGAGCTCACTTAAACATTTTGAATAGATTACAACATCAAAGAAAATGCTAGTGTCCACCGAGGGGACACTTTTCATACCTTATCCTCTAGACTGTACACGATATAAGCACGACTGCTCTTTCAATTGAGTATAAATGTTGATAAACTTACCCGGAAGCCAACACATACACGTTAAGACGATGCTATTTTCAGTTCAGTGTAAGAGTAAATGCCCGGATATCGAAGCTTTTTCGTGTAAAGTTTTAACCAAGCATGTAGAATCGGGTTATATTGCGTGTAGAATTTATCGATATCAGGGCCGCTACATGCCAGTGAATGTTATGTGCAACTAATAAAACTGATTGGAGGTCAAAACAGACATATCGAATTTACAATATGTATAGGCTTGCAGGTCCAATTCCCCCTGGTAGCATTAACATTAGTCTCGTTTATAACATACCTATGATGATGTATAGTGCAAAGTGTACACAAGACAGCGGGCCAATATAAGTTTCGAAAAGCCCGCGCCCGCTAACTTTCTGATTGGTCAAGGCGCTGACGTCATAACCAATCAATCGAAGATAAAACTGCGCGAGCAATTTTTCTAAACTCATTTCAATCATTTTCAAACCATTTGTTTGTCAATTCTATAAGAAAACGGTACTCTCTGACCAGTCTACATCATCATAGGTATGTTATAAATCGTTTATGTCACTATCGTGGCACATATGCCCTCGGTTCTCAGAGATCAATGTCCCTCCCAAGGTCGGGCCATATATTACTGAGACCTCGGGCATATATGCCACGATAGTGACATAACCTCTAAATATATCATACAGGTAATATTTGAAACACAACTTTTATTCGAACTTATGATCAAACATAGTACATGTAACTTTATTACCTTGAGGTACACATCATACTTTTGTCCGATCATAAGTCCGATCATAAGTCCGATCATCGAATAATAGTTGTAGTAGTCTAGAATTTGAAAATGTAGACCTTGTTCGTTATTCACCAAATGAACTTGAACTAAAATGCCAAATTGTTTGTTGGAATCCTAAAGAGTCAACAGTTTCATTTTGAGCAAACTGATGAGTTCATCGTTTGAGAAAGATCGATACCGTAAACTGCATTATGAGTTTGTGTAGGTTTTACTATGAAATGCACTGTCAAGTTCACCGTCCAGGATGTTGCTACAGACATTTACATATAAAGATATCTAAAAACTGGACCAGATCTTTCTAAAATTTCATCACCCTCGTGTTGTACCATACCCCGCACGTTCAACTATCACGCTTAATTTCGTACAGTACCTGTTGCGAAGGCTACTTTGGTCCAAACTGCAACCAGACTCCTTGGGTCAATAAAACCAACTCTTATTGTCGTTACAAATAATTAACTCCATTGTAACTAATTCTAAAGAGCCAGGGTCACTCGGAGCCTGGTTGCAGTTTGCAAACTTCGAAGTTACTTGGTACCCTTTACTATCAACAAAATCACACTCAATGTGTGGTCTGAACATATAGTCCATGGTATGAAATCTCTAGGACGTCTAATAAAGGAGTTGGTAGCACACTATAGCGCAGCGATATTTGACCTTACATTAACATACCTACATATGTCCCCTAATAATTTTCATTATGACTGTTCAATATACTTCCGGCTTTAAGGCTGAATTATGCCTGCCATTAACAGAGGTCAAAAAAATTACCAAAAAATAAAATACCAATTTTTCACAATTTGGAGTACACAATACAACAGAAAATAATAAAAAATGATTTTAAATATATGATTTATATTTCTAAGCTATAAGTTTGAGGTTATTTTTCTTATCAATACCAAAAAATATGTAATCAGTGTATCGACGTTTTGTATTGTTTCTAATGTATTAATAAGATAAATGCTACAAATGAATCACTTTTATATTGGAATGACGAATGTTTAAATTATGCTAGTTTTTTTTACAAAGGGGTCTCAATACGTTGTGAGATATGAACCTTTATTCAGCGGTGAAAATTATCAATAAAGGCTGGCCAATTGCTCTTCCTTGACTAATTGGAACTACAGCTAAAATTCTATTTCTCGTAGTTAGATATAGCTCAGTTGCTTATAAAACAACCATCAAGACTTGATCAAATTCATGAATAATTGAGAAAAATCGTTATCAGTATCTTCCTAAAATCTGCTTGTATCCAGCGGTAAGGTCAAAAAACAAACAGCTATCAGAAAACTTGATGATAGCCACAAGTAACGTCGAGGAAGAATTTCAGAGCGTTCGATTGCATATGACTCTAATTGATTATTAGACATGCCCTTGGAATAAATGAACATTCAAATACCTCTGCAACATTTAATTAGATATAAATCTTACATATTTGTTATTGTATTATGTTTTGTAAAACATGAACAATAATTTGTTGTTAGACCCCTTGCAATTATATGGAAAAATTCTGGTAATAAAATGTTTTAAATGGTAAGAAAACTAACATGTTCCCAATCATAAATTACCTAAATATTCCACATAATTTTGTTGAATCGGCTTGGCTCATATTTGAAAAATCAAACAAAATCTGAAAAACACACTTGCATAATTACACTAATTAAACACTGACATCTACGGTAAAATTAAATAGAATATTTTTAAATTATGATGATTTATTTTTGTTCGTATGCTAAGAATAACGGTCTGTGTCTTATAAAATGTATTAAAGTTCGAATCAAAATATTTACGTTTTTTTGACCCCTTGTGATGAAAGACATTTTTCGACCCGAAAGCCGGAAGTTTTTTCAGCAAATGGTATTTTAAAAGAATCAAGACATGTACACCTTTATAAATATTGCTTCAAATGTTGCTGCGCTAGAGTGTGCTACGGATCCTTCATATTCGGAAGTCATACCATGGACTAATAGTGAAAAGGAACTAAATGGGCGAGCATTCATTTATTGCTATACTAATTAATTAAACATATTGCTCAATTGATAGATCATTGTATGTTGCATCTTCTGTGAAATGGAATTTATTAAAAACCAAAATTTCAAGAGATATGATGACACCCGACGTATATCACACTTCTATTTTTGCAGATATAATTGGATCTATCGTCATGTTTACCTCAGCTACTCTGTCCCCACTGTCTTTTCTAATCATCCAGTGCCTGGGAGAAAATGGATATCGATTTGGAGCCATGATTGGCATCACACTGAAATCTTTGAGTTTTCTGTCTTCCTCATTCATTTCTTCAATCAACTGGTTGTTCCTGACACACAGTATTATAGGAGGGATGGCGAATTCCATTATGCTTGTTGCAGTTTCTCATATACTCGGGGAACATTTTCATCAACAGCATAGGTTTCATGTATTTGCCACAAGCGTCCTAAGTATTAGTTTCCCCTTAGGTAGGTTTAACAAAATAACTTTAATTAAATCTAATCTTTGCGCATAACCAATTTCTAATGAATATTCTCATGTGAAAACTAAATTGAACGAGGGGTGATTTACTACCACCTTTTATTGATAGATTGACTCACTGACAAATGGATGGCGATTGAAAAAGAAATGGCTTAACATAGTTTAATAAGAAAATAACCTCGCATGTTATCATGTGGTACAAAACCATCGAAGCCAATGATGATAGTGAGTTTGGTAACAGGACTCATCCCAAGACAATTCTTTCCAAAATACGTCATCCCGAGACAACTCATCTCAACTTAAAATGCAACGACGTACTTTTATATAATTAATTTCAACTTTTGATTGAATGTTTGAAATATTAAATGTTACTTCTGGCATATTTTCAGTAATCTGAATTGGACATGACAACTGGCATTTTCAAAAGTTATTAAAAAGGGACACTTGAACAATTCTGTCCAGGTTACAGTATAATCTTATCAGATATTTCTGTTCAACGTCATTCAAATTACCGCTATTAGTAAGATAGCCTTATTGTATACTTCAGTATTCTTCTTGTATTTGGATGAGTTGTTCTTGGAATGAGTTGTTCTTGGAATGAGTTGTTCTTGGGATGAGTTGTTCTTGGAATGAGTTGTTCTTGGAATGAGTTGTTCTTGGAATGAGTTGTTCTTGGATGAGTTGTTCTTGGGATGAGTTGTTCTTGGGATGAGTTGTTCTTGGAATGAGTTGTTCTTGGAATGAGTTGTTCTTGGAATGAGTTGTTCTTGGAATGAGTTGTTCTTGGAATGAGTTGTTCTTGGAATGAGTTGTTCTTGGGATGAGTTGTTCTTGGAATGAGTTGTTCTTGGAATGAGTTGTTCTTGGAATGAGTTGTTCTTGGGATGAGTTGTTCTTGGAATGAGTTGTTCTTGGAATGAGTTGTTCTTGGAATGAGTTGTTCTTGGAATGAGTTGTTCTTGGAATGAGTTGTTCTTGGGATGAGTTGTTCTTGGAATGAGTTGTTCTTGGAATGAGTTGTTCTTGGAATGAGTTGTTCTCGGGATGAGTTGTTCTTGGAATGAGTTGTTCTTGGAATGAGTTGTTCTTGGAATGAGTTGTTCTTGGAATGAGTTGTTCTTGGGATGAGTTGTTCTTGGGATGAGTTGTTCTTGGAATGAGTTGTTCTTGGAATGAGTTGTTCTTGGGATGAGTTGTTCTTGGAATGAGTTGTTCTTGGGATGAGTTGTTCTTGGAATGAGTTGTTCTTGGGATGAGTTGTCAAGAAACCATAAACTATAAGGGAAACATTTGAATTTGATGTATTTGTACTTTAGGTGGCTTGGTATTCAATCCAATGAATACAAGACTAGTACTAAATTATGGATGGAGAGGAACTTTCCGAATATCGAGTGCCTTTACATTCGTCATTGGTATGATATGTAGCTCTTTGTTATTCCCCTATAAAAGTGATTTGGTGGATTCTGGATCTAATAAAGATGCTTCTGTTGAAATGAAAACACGGTCTGACGATATGTACAGCTCAATTGATGGAACTAAAGCCGATACTGTTGAATTAAAAGATGTAGAATCAATTGAGAATGATGCTCGCGATACAACAAAACTGATACCAGCATCAGCTAAAGACAAAATGAAATGTGTAAAGAAAACAAAAACTGACATTAAAAACAGTGATTCTAGAAAGGATCTACCTCAAACAGAGGAAACTCCATTGTTTACAAAAAAAGAAACTTCACCAGGTGAAGACAAATCTACAAAGAAAACCCATGATGATATTACAAATGAAAAGTCCAGAAAAGAAATAAGTGACCCTGAGCGTACACCTCTGTTTATAAGTCTAGAAACTATTGTTACATATCCCGAGACTGTACTATGGATCATTGGCATTGGTATGACGAGAGGCCTTCTTCGTTTGCCCTATCTTAACATGGTATGTCGTTAAATAATACATATCTCATACTTTATCACATTACTTCTGTTTAAATAATCTATATTTACTCATCCGTGTATATCATACTTCATTGATTTACAAAACCAAAGCTACGCTATAAACACACATTCTCTGATATTTTTATGGAGAATAGATAACTCAAACGAGTTCACTCGACCAGTTTTATCATCTCGCTCATAGCTGTGAGAAGGTATGTATAATTTGCCATAGGTTTACCTTGTAATGGGGAATAAAAAATTCAAGTAATATAATTATTTCACATACACAAATATGTCTGTGTGTAGTAAAATACAAATACAATGTGTTCTATAATATTTTTGGGGTCATGATATGAAATATCCGCTTTAAAAAAGCAATTTAATTATGATGTATCATGTGGATTAGTAGACGTTCTGATTGGATTCATTGAACAGACTGGCTAGGTTTCAATTGAATCATTTTGAATGTGTGTATTTTTAATATTTTAATCCACAGTGTCCAAAAACAATAATAATGCTATATTGGTAATTGGAAAGATTCCACTTACCACGATTTCAAAAAATTGTAAATAGATAATATTATTCTTGAATTATGGTCATTTGTTTCAAGGAATCTGGAGGCTCGTTCAGCTGAGCTGACAAAATCATCAAGATTTACGGATGGTCCATGTGTTGGCTGCTCATTGTCACTTTCAAGGAATGTTAATGGCTCTGAAACGTGTAGTCTTGCCCAAGTCGGTATTTATTTACTTATCTGATCTTGAATTATTACCACCTTGTACAATCCAATGTATCATCGCTGATATTATGCTAAGTTATTCAGCGGTTCCGAGATTCCCATAATACCTAGGCTACCTAAGGGTATCGCAAAACCATATTGATTGACAATATGAACATGGACACAACGTGTGACTTCAGGCTGATTGACCAATCAAAACGTTATCAGGTTGACCTGCATTAAAAAAGCAAACTACCCGTCTAGGACTTGAATTCAATGATCTGATCGAGTGTTTCTTTAGAGTTACAATATATTATGTTATTAAATGTACATTGGAATGTAAGCCGTCATTAATACTCATCTAAATGAAATCATGCAATTCAATGTTAATTCAAAATCAAAACTGAATTCGCGATGGAAATGCACGAAGACCTAGTCCGGCAATGTAGGGCCGTCGTTGATTTGTCAAATTTTACCGACAAAAACATTGGGTCGGTAAAGCACGTGGCTTTCTCTTGGGTACAAGGCGGTCATAATAGAAATCAAGATAAGTAAAAGAGACCGACTTGGGCAAGGCTATGAAACTTGATTTGTGGGTATTCCAGTGGGTCGATGGGTCTTTTTCTCTGAATTCACTTCATTGGCGTACCTAATTTCAACATTTTCATTGTCATCATTACATGTTATGGACCCATTTTTCAAATTAACAGGATTAGCGATAAAACCATAGTTTTTGGCTCACACAGTGAGCCTATGGGATCGACCAGGCGTCCGTCCGTTGGTCCGTCCGTCTGTCAACATTGGCTGTACACATTAAAACTGCTATTCGGATTGAGTCATTTCCACATTCATTTTATGCATATCCATAATGTCTATTTGACCTATCATCGCCATTTCCCAAGTTCGCCCAGTTTCCGAGAAATTGCTGATTTTTAAATTTCGAGAAAAATCGATCTGATGATAGCCTTATAGAAAGTCAAGAGAAGTGAAGAAAAGATTGAAAAAATACCAGTCCAGTCCATTTCCAGGTCCAAGTCCAGGTCAAGGTCCAGTTCAGGTCCAAGTCCAGATCTAGGTCTAATCAGGTTTAATTTAGTTCAAAGGTCAAGAACTAGGTCAAATCCAGTACTTTGTCATTTTTTTCAATTTTCTCAGTCGTCCTTCAATATTTTTGCTCCGTTTTTTTAATCATGTTCCTTGGAAAAAAGCTAATCCCTACAGGCAAGTTGTTTTTGACCACTCTTAACGTTTTTGAGATATGGCATCCGAAAAGTAGGTCACAATAAAAAGTTCTTGGAATTCAATGTATAAGTTATGAAACATGTGTAGAATTGTCCAAGAAATCCGAATCTGCAAACCAGATTTTGATCCGACTTCCGGTTCGGAAGATATGGCATTTGAAAATCTCAAAAATCGCTATTTTGGTATCCCATGTTAAGTCAATGGGGCTTGAGAAAATTATCAATTGTAACAACACAACACTAGATACAGCTTGGATGCAGCCAACTTAATAAGAATCTACAATAGAACCCGTCCTCAAAATCTACTTTCCTTCAAAATTTGGACACTAAAAGGCCTAGGTCAAAATCTAGGTCAAATTCATAGTTTTTCCTTTGACTACAACAAATCATATCTGAACCAACAACAAAGGACTCATCTTTTATTGATCTCATATTTACCAATACTTTTGTTTGAAAATCAGGATATACATTCCTCTGAAGGTTCTACACTGTGTGAGCACAGAACCGTGGGTCCTTTATTTCATCTGTTATGGCATTTTCCAGTTGATGGGTTTATATATAGTATTTTCAATTTTTCATGAGGGTGTCTTTAGACTACTTGTAATGGGGTGGCTAATTACTTTACTGAATGAGGAATGTTTGTCCAAACAATGGATACAAAGAAAATTTGGCCAGTTGTCCATCAGTAAATAAATCATTATGATAAAAGTATAATTTATTAAAGCATCCATTTGTTACCGTTCTGAATCCAAATGATACATAGGTGCATCCATTTTATACATATATGTTGACGTTTACGAAATGTTTTTCAAATATCTTCCCTATAGCAGGAATATGTTAGCTGAAACGTTCACACATTGTCATACTATGTATATTGAATATGTATGCAAGATTTCAAGTCACAATGTTAAGTAGAAACTCTGAGATCACTTACCTCGATTTGCTGTCATATTTTTGCAGTGATCCCATTCCCTATAATGTACGCGAGTACCCACGATACATTACATTTAAATGACTGCATCCACATAGATCGACTAGCCACAGTGGGAACAAGGGGTTCCCATGCACCCATAAGGTGTGAATAAGTTACATACATTTTTGTAATCCCTAGGGTGTCTATTTAATGAATTCATTTGTTAAACCTGCACATCGCTCCAAAACGCAATATGTTGACATATATTGTTTTTACATTTTCAAGCTCTAATATAAAGTTTATGTAAATAAAAATTGTTTTCTTCTGCGTAATATCAAAGAACAATCATTTAGTTAAAAAAATAAAAATAAAAAGGCTAATGCGGGATTCGAACCCGGGCCTCCCGCGTGCTCAGCGAGGATTCTACCCGCTACACCACCGTATTATTATGAAAGGAGGCAGTAATTAAACGCTACTTATTTTGAATGCTATGATTCGGAAGTGACGTCACGTTCTTCATTTAGAAACCTTTCCAAAATCATATCGCCGGCACCGATCGAAGCAAATTCAATGAAAAATCTTTGAAATGACACATTTATCGTAAGTATTTCTACACAAGATTTGCCCCATTTGTTCATCATTCTATAATCTTTCATTAAGCTCAAAATGATAAAGTTCACCCCCGAAACAACCCAAGATTGCGTTTCGGAGCGTAGTCCAGCTTTAACATTGCCAACTAATGTCCCATAGTACTTTTATGGCGGCATTCAGTTACCATGGTTACGCATCTTTAGACATCTTACCTTGGTATCTTAAATCATTTGTAGCTCTGTCATTATTTGGTCTATAGAAATGATATTGGTACCAAATTGAACCTCGTTAAATTTTCAATAACTTTCTGATATTCAATAATGCAAATTATCTAATTTGCATAAATTATGACGTCATCAATCTATTTTTGGTTCAGAATTTCCAACTATAGCAACGTATCTATTAGAACTGAGGCCGCATGGCAAAATTTCTGAAAGGTTTTGTCCTTTATTCTATTAGTAGAAGGTATAAGCAACATAAAAGTGAAAACAGATTCAAAATTGAATCAGTATTACGCAAGTTATGTAACTTTCGAGGCAGCTATCGTGAATGTCATTATTTGACAATAAGTCATACATCTTACCTTGGAGTCTTGAATCAATGTAGCTTCGCCATTATTTGGTCTATAGAGATGATTCAACATTAATAAATTTACTATATGGTTACAATAGTCATCAATCCATTTTTTGTTCAGAATATCGTAGTATAGCAACATATCTATTAGAACTGAGGCCATATGACAGAATGTGTGCAGAGTTTTGTCCCTTATTTGATGAGTGGAAGATATAAGCAACATTAAAGAGACAACAAATCTTCAAAATTGGATCAGAATTAACAAAATTATCCAGCTATGGAGGCAGCTACTGTGAACGTCATTGTTTGACAATTATAAAAAGAATATTAAATTAACAAAAAAAGTAACAACCATAGAGTAAAAATGTGCATGTATTGAACTGAACTAATAAGTATGTGGAAAGGTTACATGTATTTTGACTATCATTCACAGGGGTCAAAACGGTTATCTCGACCCTGTATATTAAAGATCCAATTTTATAATTTACCATGCATCATATTCTTCATATTCTTGATTCTTTAAGTATCTGAAGTATAAAGCATGATTAGAAGTGAAGATGATTCATCATATGGTTTATGTAATATTTCTAACATTTCAGATGCTATTAGACGGGTAGGAAGGAGGGGTTCCCATGCACCCGAAAGATGTATTTTTTTAATGTACATTTTTGTAATCCTAAATGTCCATACTAAAGATTTTTGCATGTTCCCAGAATGAAATATTGTCCCATGGTATCCATTGGCGGCCATCTTGTCGGCCATCTTGAATTTTTGAAAGAGTTGATGTTAATTATCTCAAAGTACAATAACTTCCACAGTTTTGAGAATTGAAAGCTATAAGTGGTACCAAAATGAAGCTATTATAGTATCCCATATCATAAGATTAATAATTATGCAAATAGTCTCATTTGCATAAAATATGACATCATCAATCGTAATTTTTGCCTCTTTACAACATTATCGCA